TGCTACAATCACCTCCCCATGCCACCAATTCTAGTAGACATTTCTGGTATCGCTTCCCTTATCAACAAATTAGGCAACCATTCTTCCCCTGGTTATGATTCGATTAATAGTAAATTTTTAAGAAATACTGTAGAAATTAGTTCCATCATATTAGCCAAGATATTCCAGCAATCACTCGACACTTCTACTCTCCCATCTGAATGGAAAATCGGGAAAGTAGTTCCTATTCATAAATCTGGTAGTAAACGTTCCCCTGCTAATTATCGTCCCATTTCCCTTACCAGTACGTGCTGTAAGCTATTAGAGCACATCATATTCACAAACCTTGTAAATTTTCTTGAAAGTAATTCCTTCTTCACGTCATCTCAGCACGGCTTTCGTAAATCATACTCCTGTGACACACAACTGGTATCATTTACTAACAGATTACACCGCATTTTGGACAACTCATCACAAGCTGATTGCATCTTTTTAGATTTTTCCAAAGCATTTGATAAGGTATGTCATAAACTTTTACTTCACAAACTAAGCCAACTGAAACTTGATCACAACGTGTTTAAATGGATTGAATGTTTTCTCACAAATCGCTCACAATTTGTTTGCGCTAACGGGTATAATTCTTGTTTTACTGTAGTACACTCCGGCGTTCCTCAGGGATCGGTAATTGGGCCTCTCTTATTTCTAATTTATATTAATGACCTCCCCTGCCACATTAAATCCAGAATTCATTTATTTGCTGATGATTGCGTTATTTTTCATGAGGTAAATAACATAACCGATTCGTGTACTCTTCAATCAGACCTTAACACTGTTGATAACTGGTGCCGTACATGGTTAATGGAATTGAACATAAACAAATGTAAAGTCATGCGCGTGTCCCGCAGTGTTTGCAGTCAATTTACTTACTGCTTAAACGACATACCTCTTGAATCTACTAACTCGTACAAGTACTTAGGCGTCCACATAACATCCAATCTCTCTTGGGCAATGCACGTCGAACAAATAATCAACAAAGCTAACCGTACGCTTGGGTACCTACGCCGTAACTTTTCCAAAGCTCCATCTTCATTGAAATTAGCCCTGTACAAAACATTAATACGACCTAAACTAGAATATGCTTCTTCGATTTGGGATCCCAGCCACATTAATTTAATTACATCGCTTGAGCTAGTTCAGAATAATTCCACACGCTTCATATTATCGAACTACAATCGCACTGCCAGTATATCTGCAATGAAAAATAATCTGTCCCTGCCTACCCTGTCACTTCGAAGAAAAGTTTCCCGCCTATCAACTTTTCATAAATTGTATCACCACCCCATCTTGCGCGACGAACTTATTTTGCAACCCCAGTATTTTTCCAACCGTGTCGATCACCGTCACAAGGTTGGAATTATCACTTATCGTACTAACACAGCTGCGCAGTCGTTCCTGCCTCGTTCTTCTCGCGAGTGGAACCACCTTCCTCCTGAAATTGTCGCTATTAACGACAACCATCTTTTTCGTGATACCGTAGCTAACATTGTATACGCAGGACCTATTTAATGTATTTTTGTTTGTACGCTGACTTTTGATTATATTCGTACTAACGCTGTATTTTTCCCTCCCCACCATGTACCATGTGTTATTCAATGTAATCCACTCCCCTCTGTAATGCCATTTGGCCCTGAGGGTATTATAAATAAATAAATAAATAAAGAAAGAAAATCTCAAAGTACTCGAAATGAGCGAATAGACGTGTATGGTAATCCGCATGTAATCCCTGTAGAGGTAGTTTCCCTGCACAGTGAACGTTTAACAGCTCAAAAGTAACGCACGGCCGCAGACAGGAAACAGATGGGTTAAGTCATGCCTGTTTTCTGTCCGTGGCTACCGTGTTATTTTCCCGCTGATAACTTTAATTATGCACAGCCGCCTAGCCCAGTCAGCTAATTGATTGATATGTGGGGTTTAACATCCTAAAACCACCATATGATTATGAGAGACGCCGTAGTGGAGGGCTCCGGAAATTTTGACCACCTGGGGTTCTTTAACGTGCACCAAAATCTAAGCACACGGGCCTACAACATTTACGCCTCCATCGGAAATGCAGCCGCCGCCGCCAGGATTCGAACCCGCGCCCTCCGGGTCAGCAGCCGAGTACCTTAGCCACTAGACCACCGCGGCGGGGCAAGGTAGCCCAGTCAGCTAGTTTATTGCGTTTCACTGTAGTGAAAGAGTGCTAAGCTGTGAAAGCCCTCATATAAATCTGTATTCTATACTAACCTGCATGCGCCACCCTATAAAGATGGTTTCACTGCAGTAAAAATGAGCTGTGAAAACACCTATCCAAGAGAAGTCCACAATGCCGCGAAGTCCCACTTCAAGGTTAAACGAACATGCAGTAGACTCTCAATAAACGGAGCCTGAAGGGAATGGGAAAATATGTCCCACTTAATAGCAGTTCCTTTTACTGACAGGTGAAGAGGATGGGCAGAACACAAGCCTGAAACCAATCTTGCAGCTAACAGATTTACGTTTACTGAGAGTCTAGTGTGCTGCACAATAACCTCACATCGATTCATCATTTTTAACTTTAAAAGCTTGTTATACCGGCTTATAAGTTTTAAGTACACTCAAACCTCTCTATAATAAAACCGTATATAAGTAAATATTGGTTATAATGAAATAAATGAAAAAATAGTGTTAAAAATAAACCTTTAAAACAAACTCTTGGATATAGCAAACTTATTTCTGTGTAATATGTAAGTTTGTTAGAATGTGGTTTGGGTGTGCAGTAAATTTTAAAATGTCACATATTTTACATGTTATTACTAGCATTCTACAGAAAATCAAATTCTGCTACTATTTGAAGTTGTTTCCACTTCTTTTAAACCAAAAAATGGCATTTGCACAGGCCTAGCTTCAAGTTTTGAAAAATCTTGAGCAGTTTAGTTCAGTCATGACAAGTATGCCCACTTTTCTTCATAGTACGTTATATATGCTATTCAAAATTAATTAAAAATTATTCAACCAAAATCAACATTTGCATCGAACCTAAAATTCACAACTTTCGCAAGCCTACTTTCACGTAATAAATGTGCCACATCTGTGGCATCACTCCCACAACCTCAGTATAGCATCAGGACTATTTAGTCTAGGTGAATTAGTGATAGCGGTGCAGAACTTTCGCCATAATCAGTGACTGCACTGCATCACTTGCATGCATGCATCAGCAGTGATGAAAGCGTGGAGTGCCACACAAGAACAAACATTTCCAGTATGCTGCAATTAATAGCAGGTATCAAAAGATTACATCAGGTGATGTCTTGTTAATATGACTAATATATTATGGGAATACACTATAACAAACAGTATATACAGTATGAAGTATTTTCATTCCATTCCATACTAACATAGTATAGACCGCTTATAACGTAAGTCGCAAGAGTCGCGAATATCCGCTCTATAAGCGGTAGCGCACTGTACCTAAACCAACATTTTTCAAGGGCCGCACTTGTGCAAAACGTGTTGAACATGCAGCTTCGGTGCCCAAAAATCGAAACGTACGATGTGTGCTTGCTAACATTTAAATTTTTGAATGTTAAAAGAATTTAACGTTCAAAGACTCACGTTGCCAAAGAAATTAATGCGAAGGGGGGGGGGGGGGGAGTGAAGGTGTCTAACAAATGAAAGCAAATGATCGCAGAAATTCGCCGACTTGTGACCACCTCGATTATGCGCATTACATAGAAACTATGTCGAAACACGTCCAGAATTTGACGTGTTAAAAGACACCAATCATTCGATTTCATGAGCCTACACTCGATTTAAAACATCGCAATCGAATCGCGAACCACAATTTGAGCGCTACAGGTGCCACCCTCGTTTTCATTAACGATATGTATTCCTTCCCGTCAAGTGCAGGCCACCACAAAGAGTTTCGTTGATTCGGTACCAAACCCGTAACTTAGATTCACGCGACCGCTACCGATTGAAGCGCAAACAACGCCGATTAAGCCTAGCTTGCTGTTTGGTATGTTGTCGCGGAAAGTTTGCCCAAACATGAAGATTCGGCATCGAAAAGATCGCAGTGAACGAAGAACAGCGTGCATGATACTAAGTTTGCGTTCGTGGCCGGCACATCAGCAATGACGACAACTCGCCAAGCTTACGTGCGACAGCGCATTGGCAGCAAAAGTGAAAGCTCATGTCATAAAACTATATAAGATTTTCAATTTACCGCCAAGGAAGCAAACGCGATATTTGTTGCAAGCTCGATAATGAGGACGTCTTTCCTGACAGGAAGCTGTTAAGCGCATGCAGTTGATAAGGATGCAATCGTATGTGCCACATTGAGCGGTGCGCGGCCAAAGCCACGCTAGCGACGTAGTATGCTTTCGCCGCGCCGGTGCAAAGGCCTATCGGTCACCGAGGCAACCGTCCTCCTCCCTTACTCGTCGAGCCCGTGCAGTGTCCCGCTGTCTTTTTAAAATTTTTTTTCCCCTCCGCCCTTCATTCAGTTCACTCCGTGTCCTTTCCTCCTCCGTAACGACCTCCTCGTTCCCTCCCCAGCGGCGCACCCAGCGTGCCTCCTTTCAGAAGCGCACTCGCTATCGCATTTGTCACAAACAATTTCTGGCAACCGCATTATATCCGGTCTTGGGGGACTTGGGGGACTTGGGCGGTCTTGGGGGATTATATCACATCTTGGGGGACTGCATAATAAACGGTATGCGTATACATGGGGTTCTATGGGAGGGTAAACGGGAGTAGAAAAAGACTGCATTGTAAGCGATTCTGCACAATAAGCTGTTACATTATAAGTGGTCTACACTGTATGCTGCATATCCAGAGTGATCGATGAAACTGGCACATTTCGTGACGGGGTACCAAGATTCCGACAGAGATCATGCGCAAGGCTGGCAATGAGCATACACATTGTGAAAGTGAAATCGAGGGGTACGAAAGTTTCTGCTCGTCGCACAAATGTAAATGCTCAATGAAGAAAGCACTACTACCTTGCTGAGCTTGTTTTTTGCTTCCTCCAGTTCCAGCTCCAACTTCCTGACGTGCTTGATCATTTTTCGTATAGTGAGATGTAGGATCTCCCAAACATAAGGCCTAGAGGAAAGCAAAAGAGGTATAAGGTATTCTGAGACATCCAATAGCAGTGTGAAAAGCTAGACCTCAACGCAAACATGAAAAGAAACCTTCTATATGACACCAGATATTTACAGCACAAAAACGTATTCCAGACCAGAGCACTTGTATTGATAACAAATGTTGAGACGAAACGAAAACAGCATAACTTGTTTCAAATGTCAGCCTAATTTCAGTCATGTGTATTCACAAAGCTACGTAGTGTCGGTAAAAGCTGTGATTTCTAAAGCCCTTTTGCTCAGTTGGGTGTAGGCTCATAATCAGTGGTATGGAAAACCCTGCCATAGACAACATATATTTTTGAAACTGCTCGAACTGCTGCTGATTGAGTGCAAAGTGAAGAAGTTAGCCTCTCATTTATGAACATTGCTCCACTTCAGTTCTTCCTGTCTGGCATACTGGAGCCAGGTTTTGTAAAAGTGATTATCATGTCATCTCTTTAAAGGCGAACACCAGAAATGTGTATTTGAATGTCATCCTCACACTGCCTAATACATCACAAATGAATAAGTGAAATGTCTGAAGGACACAGTTTGTACTACTATTGCACTGTGCATTCTGAAGCTTCACTCAAACACTCATGTCTTACCAAACACCGGACATACATATTAAAACAGAAAAATATGACATAGAGATGAGAATATTAGACCATTAAAAGTGTACTAAAGATGCAAAACCGAAATTGAGCTTCCGAATGCAGCCCTACAAAAGAAACAAAAGGATGCTTTTTGGTGGTGGCTACAGAGAATATTTATTGATGCCCTGATATAATATGATGTAAGATGATGGCTACATGAAAAATTTCAAGGATAGAAATAGGCCTTACAAAAGAGCCCTTCATTGCTTTCACTGGCTACAAGAAAGAGCAATCAGTTCTTCGAAAATTCACTAGTCACAAAGTTTCCACGTAACCTTACAGAGAGCTGAGTTCTCTGTCCAATGCAACTGTACAAGAGAATGCAGCTGGCAGGAAAGCAGTGCTCAATGACAAAAGTAAATTTCTGCAGATGCTTTCGCACAGTTCACCAACCTTTTTTCGTTCTGGTGTCAGCAGAAAATAGATTGATTGAAATTCTATATGTTTAGCCAAAAGAACCTTAGGGACAATACCACATAAAACTGTACAACAGCAGAAGAATCTACACATTCATGAGAAGCCATGACTTACAGAAACCATCACATAAAAACGGCACTGCAAATAGGTGCAATGGCATTTCTACAAATGCTATTATAAAGACAAGGTGTGTGCGCACTGTCATGTCGGTCAGATTTTTAATTAACCAACAAGACATGATGTCTAATGAGGTGACACAAAAGTGCAGCAAAAACTTACCTCATGAAGTCGGGTGCGAGATCTTTGGAGAAGACCCAATTAGCCACGGCAGAACATTCAACAATTTGTGTCTTCAAGTACTTGTCTACAAGGCCAATCATCATCTGGTAACAAAGGCGAAACACACAGCAATAATCTTAATGCTTGCCACCTTTCATTTCTCAAAGGTCAAATGGCATTTCAAGGATTTGCTTGGCATGACATGAGATATCTTCAGCAAAAGTTTGCATGAGCATCTTGCAGGGATGCATAATATATTTGCACCTTTAAGTACAACTTAGATAAATAAGTTACTTGAAAATGTTTATGTTCCAATTTTATGAAAGTTTGAAAGTACACACTTAATAATTCTTTGGTAACAAGTTAACTATCTTTTTCATAAATATGCCTCTGTTTGATAACACAAATTTTGAGTGGCCTGAACATTTAGCACTATTCCATGAGGTTCTAGTCACCATGGTATTACTGCACAAACCTAATCTGCAAGCTGCCTTTTAAAGCAGTACCTTATAAGAAATGTTTGCAATAGCTATCTAAAACAGAGCACGATTGGTGGCGCACAAAGCATTGCTGTATAGCCGAGGCTGCAAGACAAAGAACATGCTGAGAAGATGTCAGCAAATCATTACAGCTTGTGATAACTCAGAGAAAATTCTAATGAAGCAAGTTGAAAAACCACGCATCATTCCCATAGTCACTGCAGTACTGATATGATTTTTACATCTCGATATTTGCAAATGAGTTTTTCATTTAAAATGTAACAAAGTTGGTAGCAAACCTGCTGGTGGTTGTGCCAGAGGTCATATGTACTACGCAAAACACATATTTGAGCCTCCTCTGTAGATGCCAATGTCTTGAACACATAATGAAATCTGCAAGAGAGAAAGAAATTTTTTCTAAACTACAACTGCTATATATGCTCAACTAATCCCAATCTCACCCCATTCACGTCTGCTCTGACAACAGACAAAACAATGGCTATAGAGACCATTTCCCCAATTTATGACAAATTACTAATACTAAGCGTCTGCTGTGCAACCAGTTCCAGCTCCAATTTTCAACATGCTTGATCATCTTTCGTGTGAGATGTAGGATTTCCTAAAGATAAGCCCTACAGTAAAGGAAAAGAGGTAACCCATAGATATGCATAGAAATGTCCATAGAATGGACAGTTTCACTGAAAATAAACTTTTACAGGCACACAATATAACTGCTACATCGGTCCTTGTCAGACACAAGGCCACAAGAACAAGCTTTACAGTAATAGCACCAAAGAAATATATAAAAAAAGAAAATAAATGCAAATTGCCTTCAACTACTACTAGTTGGGTAGAAAGAATCCTCACTGTGCTTCTCATGCATCTCGAGACAGCACGGACACTATTTCAAGTGCTTCCTTGAAACAATTTACATAAAAACATTATGAATGTAGCATCAAATAATTTTGAATGCTTGTAATGTTTTTAAGCTCAGAAGAAAAACGAAAAACACCTCTTCGCCGAGGCACGGCTTGAGGCACTATCTCAGTCCTCTGGAGCACTACAGCGTGTAATGAAGTAACAGCACTTTGCGTGTCCCCAACTCCGAAACAGTACCTCCACACAAGCACAGAAGTGCCAGGTGATATGGTATTGAAAGCTTGGCAATGAGAATGATATGTGGACCGCATGCAGCAAACTCAGACAGCTGTATCATTACCAATAATGTCCTGGGAACTGGCGTCTATAAGACACCTGACAGGTACTACACTTGTCAGCAACAGCTTACAAACAGTTTGTGCATTTAAGCTGAAGAGTATTACATACACAGAGACTTGTACTTTTCCGGTTTTCATCAGTATGAAACTGCTTAGCCCAACCAAGCTTTTGTCTTGTTTGTTTAAAGTAGCAAAACATCTATCGAACATAGAAGAATTTAATTTGAGCAACTACAGTCAAGACAGATTTGCTCCATACCTTCTTTTTTGAAGCAGCTGATTGACACTGCGTTGACATCAGCCAGTATGTGATTTACACTTCAGTTATCATGCAAAGTACCGTCATAAAATGTACTGTTTTCAACAATATATCAAAGTAATAACAAATCATCATGAATTTCAAACCCGTGTTTGCTGGCGTACATGTATGTAGGTATGCTTAAAGGCTGGTGAAGTTGCCTAGACATAGCATTCGCAGATGTGCTGGGAAAAAAAAAAGCAGGAGGAACATTTCCTTCACTACCTCATGGATTCAAAGTTATTTGCAATTATGGCTTAAAGTGAACAAATAAAAATAAAAGTAACTGTTTTTACTCTTTTAGGTTGCTTCTAGGCATAATATTTTGCCACGATCTCGTCCTCATACATCCATAAGAGTATTGTAGTGGAGCACGGCATCGAGAGAGGGCATCTTGTAGGGAAAGCATCTCTGAATCCCACTCAGTGCTCGAGTTAAGATGGAGCAGTTTTCTCAACTCCACCGAGTTTAGGTGAAGTGTCGAGTCAAAGAGTTCGTGAATATGATCATAAGACAGCAAATAATAGCCAAGGATTACAGCCAAATATACACTATTTATGCCATCTGTGGCTACTAACAGCTTACTGCAGAATGCAAAGAAGTCTGCCAGCACACACAGCTGTTTAAAAAGCATGTAGTCACAGTTCTGAAACGAAAATGGCACTGTATGTGTCGACACACAGATGGTTAAAGGAAGCAAAAACAAGGACCATAAATGTGCGATAAGTTTTTTTTTCTAGGTCAGCGATAAAATACCCTGGTTTCATAATTCAGTTTACACACAGCCCCCCCCCCCCCCCCCCCCAAAAAAAAGAGGATGAGCAAAACAGAACATGATGCTACTCACTTGGCAATGCCTGCAAACGAGTGCGAGAAGGATTTGCTTGCGATGTATAACAAGGTCTCCACAAATATTTGTATCTTTAGGGGGTTGTATGCAGGCTCCACTGAAATGGTGATATGCAAGATGTGAGCTGATTTTAGCATGCTGATTACACAGTAATGAGCACCAGAGCCCAAGAGCAATGTGAAACAATGCAGAACCTTGGTAATTTAAAAAGTAACATAATGAGTCAGACTAAGTAGTAGCACTTCCGAAATGCTAAATCACACGGCATTGACTAATAGTACCAGGAACAAACTCTGAATGAAAGGACAGCTAATGGAACCACTTGAATTCCTTGTCCCATTCCTTGCATACATACAGGCTTGCGACAGCATGTGGGTAAGGCTAGTAAATCATATAACGCAGTAATAAGATAAGAAAAACTTAGTTTGAACCAATGAATATCTAGGAAAAAAAAAGAGCCATCACGGTATCATCTTCTAGAAAAAATGAAGACTTAATGTTGAGTGTTAGGGTCCCTCAAATGCCAATAACCTTGGACAGAGACAGTGCAAGAAAGAAAGGGGCAGCAAACTTACTGCCTTCGTCCTCCTGCAGCGGGTTGGGTAACTCGGCCAGAACCTCGAGGGCTTCCTCGGGTGTGCACTTGCTACGGATGCAGCTGCTCAGCCGAGCTGCAACAGGTGCACCAGGCAGGCCGTCTGCACCAATAAGAAGTGGCACTGGTAGCACCACTAGCACAAAATACCAGGATCTTGCAAAGCACACTGCAAAAAAGTTCTTGCACAATACGGAGGCTGCACTTGCCAGAAGGTCATAGAATTGTATTACTGAGCACAAGGTCACAGGCTCCATTCACAGCCACCATAGCCGCTTTCCAGGGCCAGTAGAACGCAATACGCCAGGGTGCTTGGATTTAGCTGCACATTAATAATGTAGTAGGCAGTGAGCTTAGAGTCTGATATGGAAGATGAAGTTTCTTCAATGAGTTTCTTCGACAAGCACTGTCAGACCGACAAGCTTGGACATTCTAGCCGTGACATCAACTTAGTCATCCGGCTAATAAATGTTTGTTCTTTTTGGACCTTCTGTTCCCATAATAAACCAACCACATCTAGCTTATGTCAACTTGTTTGATGAGTGAGAATGTGTCAGTCCAGTGACCATGTTAATGAACTTTAAAACAAAATTTTCTCGCATGTTTTTTTTTTTTGCACTGCAATACAAGAAAGTCAACTGACATTTGAGGCGACAGACAATCGAGTAGATACGGTAGTTGCTGGTCAATATACTTTAAACTTGAGCCCTAGAAAAAGAAGAAAGTGACCAATATTTTTGTGAAGACAAAATCGCATTGCTGCCAAAGTACATCTGTAGTGCTCGATTTCCTACCGTGCTAGACAGATAGACTTATGACAGGCTCACACTACTCCATCATCAGTTCAAGCACATTGTGAAAATCAAGTAAGTCAATCCACCTGCTCCTTCCTTCTCGAAACGGTAGTCAGGGACCGGTTTTGCAGGCAAGAAGGGGGCAAATGAGGCTGGAACAAGTTCCACCACTCGCTGGTGATAGGACAACCTGTTGAGAAACAAACAAGGTGTTTTCACAAACTTATAGCGGAGGGCTGTTTAAAATGCTATAGATGGGTTCTCGGATGTTAACGTTTCAAAATTCAGAAATTAGAACGGATGCACACACCTGCAGTCACATGCCTTGTTTCAGCACAGCTGCTTTTTTCGACCCATTGCAGACATTCGCAGCATTTTAAAAAGGTTGTTTTGGTTATTGTGCAGTACTACTAATGATGGGCAAGCTGAAGACATTGACGACCCATAGTTCAAGCGGCTTATACGGTAGACTTAATACTGTCTTCTTATGTGTGGACAGTGCCCATATGATTTCATGACACACTGTAGTAGTTCCATTACAAAGGCTAGTAAGCCTGCCATCCCCAACCTTGTTCAACAGCTCAACAGTTTGAGTTGTTTTACATGCAATGCTTTCCAATAAAACCACTTGGGCTGCATGAAAAGTACAAGTAGCAGCATCTTTAAGCTGCTTCTCTTTAAGCTTTAAAATATAGCAAAAAAAAAACAAGAGAAAGATAGTGGAACCCTATATATAAGGGGTGCATGTAGTACACATGTTGTGCTGTAGTAAATTAAAACTAGCTCTTGCCTGAGACATCGATGTAATGCTTGCTGCAAGAAAACAGCTTTGGGATGGAGAGGATCCAGGGAGACGGCTTCGGCCCAGTCGTCCCATGTCCACCGAAACTGGAAATTGCTCAGGTGATAGGCAAACCAGCTGCAGAACCTGGAAGTCAATCCATCAAGCAATGCTATAGGTACACATACTTAATATGTATTTTCATTCAAATCTAGGCGGGTACCTCTTGATGACCACATGCATCATGAAACTCCCAGATGAGCTCAGATTTAAAAATTTCATTGCTCTCCACTGCCGCAGCAATAACGTGTGCTTCTCACTTTGTAACACAAACTTGGCTCAAAAGTTATGACCACACCGAGTACATTCTGAGCAACCACACTTGGACGATTCGAGTGAGAATATTGGTGTTTCGAATCTTCCAATCGGGCCAAACGGCAGCACCAAGAGTGTAGAGACAGAGTGGTGCCTATATGCAGTCACCGCTTTCGGTGATCACTCATTGTCTTGCACTGCTTGCATTTCTTAAAACTAGTTTTTCTTTAAGTTTTTTGACATTTGAATTTAGAGGGGTCAGCTTAAAGTTGAGGCCAGCCTCAATTCCAGTACACAAGGTGTGTTTTTCCAGCTGTAAGTGACACAATAATGCATGACCAACTTGGAAAGGTGAGCACAGCAACGCGAATGGACAAAAGGGAGCTCACCTGTCTAAACAGTCGGTGTTCATGGTGTCCAATTGCTCGTACAGAAGCTCGACAGCTTGGGCAAGCTGAAAGTTAGGTCTGTCAAGGGCTAATTACCTCTCAGCATGGCAAGGACACAGCAACATCTCCATCACTGTTTTCCTAGAAGCTCACAGGCTCTGGAGATTTCCTTCCAGAATTATCTTAATCCATTTTAATGTGACAGAGTTAAAAAACTTGCTTCACAGAAAGTCCGGTATCTATGTTGGCGACGTTGCTTGTGAGCGAAAAATCGGCATCTGTGACCAAAACATAGAGAAAGGTATAAAGAAAAATATCTTCGATTCGAGTGAGAATCGAACTCAGGCTGTGTGCATGGCAGGTGTGTGCATGGCAGGTGTTCTACTACAGAGGCAAGCTATTGCTTGAAACAGCCTTAGGAAGAACACACTATGAATGTCATGTAGTGTCGCTTTAGCATATGTGATATTTCCTGGCAGAAGCTTGGAATCGTACCTGGCGTCAAAACATGTGAATTGCGCAACAAGTGAGTGTTCCTAAAGGGACACCAAAGGCAACTATCAAGTCGACGTTAATTGTTGAAATAGCGGTCCAGAAACATCGTAGTGTTACTTTTGTGCCAAGCAAGAGCTTATCTTGAAATAAAATCATGTTTTAGTGGCCCTGCATCGGGTTAGCACACTTCAAATTACCCACCTGAAAAAGTGTACTAAATCACGTCACTGTTGCCGGTGCACAACATTGCCCGGCTTTACTGCGCGGTCGCCAACACCAGTAGACAGAACAAAAACAGCGGGTGCCACAGCAGCCACAACAGCCATCAATCAATTTCTTGCCATTAGCTCCGAGATGGCAGACATGTTTTGGTTCAACTGCGCCACGCTAGATGGCACAACATGTCCAGTGTAACCACGCGAAAACCGATTTTGCGCCATTCGCCATAGTAACGTCCAGCGGTTCTTTTTTCTATGAATCAAACAGAAATGAACAAGGCAGCATTTCATAGTGTCTCTTGATGCACAGTAAGTTCTTTATTTAGTGAAGCTAGATCGATTACTGGTGATTAATTGTAGGTGGTTCGTCTGACGTTCATTGGTATCATTTTGAGAGTAACCTACTGCGGTGCATGTATTCTTGTGCATTTACCTTAATTTCTCGGTAAGTAGGGCACTTCTGTTGATAATATTGTTGTTTTATATGTTGTCATACATTGAGCTTTCACTCTGAAGAAAATTGTCATTTGACTTCAGTGTCCCTTTAAAGCCAACCCATTACAAAGTGCCCACACATGTAATCATCATTAGCTGCACCAGCATCAACAATGTGAACAGCTGTGTAGGTTCGTGTTGCCTTACTAATGCATGATAGCCCCTTCGCTGATTAGCAAAAGCGAAAATTGCAGTGTAGCGGGCACCTAGCAGCTCTACTTGCAGTCTAAGGTAGTTTGAAACGGCTTGTGTTACGTGCACAGTAATTCATTTCCTTTCAGCACGATTGAGGCATGCACAGAGAACCAAAGTCACGCTAGTAATTAAGAATACAATACGCACGGGGGGCTGATTATGCTACTACATTCTACTCTTAAAGGCCAGGTTCAAACATGCAGAAAATTTTTTTTCGTGTTTTCCTTGATCAAACAGAATAACAGACCACAAGACTGGTCTATTGGCTAGTATTTATCAAGTTCTCTCTCTCTCTCTCTTCTTTGATGACATCAATATCCTACGAACAAAATCTGACCTCTCATTTTAACACTGACCACTGCAACACCACCGAATGCCTGTTAGCTGCCCTCTTCACAATGGGCTGAGCTAAGCCAACTTAAGAGGTAAACGAGTTTAATACAAGATGGCCTGTAAAGAGGATACAACTTGGGGCAAGCTGCTTGGCTGAAGCTTGCACAGCTCCAACAGAAGTGAACCGTAGCAAATCTCCAAGTGCCTAGAGGTGGGTAGCCGCAGTAACTCACCAAAGATCACCTGCAAAATGTGAAGAAATGCGACACTATTCCTAAATGACCGCCTTTTAAAAGAGCACTGACATAAAATTTACTCATGCCAAGATTTTTGCGTCAGCGATTAGCTATAGACCTCATAGCAGTGATTCGCGACCTTAAAACGCAACTGAGGGATGAATAACTATCACTTTTATTGATTTATATCACTGGTATCTAGCACTATACAAAACAGCTGGCAATCCCGCCATTTCTAGCACTGGAAGTATCAGCAGTGGCACTACCTCACGGTCACCTCCAGATAACGCCACACCTCCACAAAAAAGAGTGACGTCAGGCTCAGCTTCTCTGCAAACATTTCGTCTGCTAGACGGACACATTCAGTCAGTCATGACTTGTCACCTGCATTGCTGTCATCACCGTACGAAGTGTTGACTGGGGTTCTATACGATAGTCTGGAGCTTGGAATCCCCGCGATTCGCGACGTAGCGAATAATTTTTGCTTCGATCAACCTTTTGCAGAACATTGATTCCGAAATGAACACCGTTCCAAGCAGCATTGCAGAGGTGCCCGAGGATGCACGCTTCATCCATGTTCGCTCGTGTGTCTCAGTTAGCTATATTGGTGTGTTTTGGCATGCAAATCATTCAGGTATACACAGAGGGGTCAATACAATATAGTTATCGTGAATTAGCATCAGCGGAGAAATAGAATACGTTTCCTGCTTGCCAGGTTCTTTTTTGCACCTCCAGATGGCCCCACTTATCCTGCCTCTCACAGTTAACGCGGTATTACCACTTTTACGTGGATGCAAAGTCTACAGATGAACTAAAATTCAACGATACCTGCGTGTTACTCAATAGCGATGATCTCCGACTATACGCTGTTCCACTTTTGATAGCTTGTGGCCGTGTTGATGTGTAACACATACGGGATATAAAAAGACAGCCTCACTGCGCTTTTTCCGTGCTTCGAACTAGACGACTGCAACTCACCTGCAACTCACAACGATTCCCCGACTTGCTGACCGATAAGCACACGTTTAATCATGCTCTTTTCTTTTGCCGTTCATTTCAAGGTGGTTTTTTATCGATAATTTCACGATATTATTCAAACCAATGCAACACAGGTCAGACGTGACTAGCGAGTGCGTTTCTGCGCCAGTCGGCGCCACGATAAGAACACTCGGATCGTACACGTCATCGCTACTAGGGAATTGTCACTCAGGATGGTATTTGTGGAATGTATCACACCGAACACGTAGCACTAGTGCCGATGTCGCAGGGCAGCCGATTTTTCGTTTTTTCTGCTTAGCTTTTCTACGCTGCTTGACGTTGAAATAAGATAACTTTGACGTGACAAATGCCATTCAAATTTAGCCAAGAAGACCTATGCATACCAAGTGATTGAATGATGGGCACATCTCGATCTTGAAATTTGATGTCAGTGTTCCTTTGAAAGGCCTTTCAACAAGCTCTGTTGCAAATTCGAGTTATACAAAATTAGTCATTGCATTCGCTATAGAAAGCGCCTTGCAGGTACAATTTTGGAACGCTGTTCAACATTATAGGAGATAAAAGAAACTTAAGTCCTTTTGTTCGAGGTATAGCGCATCCGGGACGGGACAGAGAAGAAGACACAGAACACATACACGGCGTTCTGTTTCATCTTCTCTGTCCCGTCCTGGATGCAGCTGTACCTCGAACAACATGAATAACCAACAAGCCCGCGGTGCAACCTTAAGTCCTTTGTCGCCATAAAATTGAGACGTAAGCGTCATTGGCATAGCCATTGTATTCACTTGCCCTTTTGCCTCCAGCAGCCAGTGTTACTAAGAGTTGAAGAGAAGAAAAGGGGAAAAAAATGATTCAACTTGATGCTCAACATTCCACAGTGAAGCTGTGAAACATGAACCTTGGAAGCCATCACATTAGAGCTGAGAAAATAACAAAACAGGTAATGATGTTGCCGGCATTATAAATAACAGCAACATTTGATATGCCGACATCCCTGGCAATCTCAGATACCAAAATCGTGCGACTTAGATTTTATTTTAAAATTTAAGTTAGTAAATGACTAGGTAACCTCAAAGCTCACTTGCCGTGACCTTATGATCTGGAAGAAAAGTTGAAACTTCCTGGGCATGTGACTTGCTCACCTCAATGATCATGTACTCTAGAGGCACCTTAAGCTTGCCTTGGTAGCTCAGTAGCTGTGCAGCACTTGGAGAGAGAGAGAAAAAACAGCAATAAGCTCCCACTATTAGCACTGAAAGAGTGCACAGACAGAAGAATGCTATGCAATAGAATACACTAAAACCTCGATATAACGAACCCAGTTTTAATGAAATACCCTGTTATAACAAAATGAATTAAAGGTATTCTCAACAGATATAGTGTTAGGAATAAACCTTCATAACGAATTTTCGGATATAACAAACTTATTTTTGTGTAATATACAACTTCGCTATACCAAGGTTTGAGCGTAATTTAAAAGTAGCCCAAGCTATTGTCCAACAATTATACGTTTCCCATCTGTGGCCAACAGTAGCCATGTAAAATCATATGAGCTTCACTTAAGTATTACCTTAAAATAGTGACAACAGCAATGACAATTTTTATAACAGCAGCTTCTCGTTGGCTTTTTGCATCACTGTCGAAATTTGGGCTTGTTGGTGCATTGTGACGACAGAAAATAGCGCAAAGAAACGGGGACACAAGACGAGTTCACAGCGCCTGTGCCGTGTGTCCTCGTCTTGTGTCCCCGTTTCTTTGCGCTATTTTCTGTCGTCAGGCTTTTTGCATGCAGTTTGGGTTTCGAGCTGATGTGAAAATTTCAAACTGATCTTCACAAGAAAAGAAAATGTGAGTGCAAATACTAATCACTCATTGAGAGCAATGAAAAATATTTTTAATATCTAAATATGATTTCAAATTAATGTCACTAATATCAACATTTCAATGCATGAGCCGAGGCCACCAATGGGATGCAGCCATTTTTTCATTCCATAGCTTTCTAGAAATTCTGTTGTGAAGTGCTGCTAAACAACTAGCACAAACATATCACGGATTCAACACAGGGCAGTGAAAGATCACTGATGTGCAGGACAAGCTTTTGTCCTGCGTCGACCCCAGGCTATCTAGCATTTAATAAGATTATAACCCAGCTAGCCCATCAACAGATTTTTTAATCTGGCATGAAAAACACGTCGTTTCTAGGCACCCACAGTGCAGCTGGACAGGTATAAGGAGAAGTTTGGCTCACCAGACTTTACGATCTGCGTAGTTGCGTTCCAGGATGTGAAGCAGCTGCTCTTCTCCCAGGAAACGCTCAATTGAATGGGAGCCCGGCAGCACGGGACCCTAAGAGTACACAACAGGCTAGAGGTTACAATGTTAAACTCCAAACCATACACTACGTGAACCTTCTCACCAGGAGATAAGTTCAGAATCAGAAGGGATGCATTTTTACCAGCAATGAACAAGACACTTATGTAACTCACGAGCCCACTTGGTAACTACTGGAAAATTACAGACAAGAATTTGTTCAAAACACCCAACAAGCAGGCACCGTAACATAGTAGAGTTTCAGTTGAATGTCTGCAGTCTGCTATGCACAAACCAGTGTTTGCTAATAAATTTCTTACATTCTGGCACAGTGTGTTTGCACACATGCAGCAAAACTCTCACTGTGGCAGTGAAATGTAGAATGCTCTTTTGAGGAATAAACTTAGCAGAGCATAATAGTGGATAACACTTGGATTCTTTAGATTTTCACAGCCAGGCTTACTGCATGTCACTTGCGTTTCTTGCAGATGTAGTTAGTGGTTCTGTGAGATTAACACGGTCCTGTGCAGTTCCACGATGACAGTCAAGTGCCAGTGGTGCATACCATAACTGGTGGTCCACAGAGCTGTCTACATATTATCTTAGTTAAGTATTGCTGGGATTTTTTCAGACTCTTCTTCTGGTCAGAAACTCCTGCTAAGTTCCATATGGGGACAAAAGTGACCATCAGAGGTGCCACCATGGGTAGAAGAGGACTGATCTTCCGAGCTTGGAAGGGCAGCAGCACATTCGTGCGGGTGTTTCCTATGAAGAAACACTTCACCCGGTTTTCTTTTTCTGTGTGTTCGGTAACTGAACATAGCAGTGGTGAGGGTTGAATAAGCAACATATGATGCGAGTTGCTTACCAGCTCAAGTCATTATTTGTTAGCAGTGGTTAGACTTAGATTGCTGGTCAAGTGACAATTGCGTTTGTGCTTGAGTTCATACTAACGTTTTTGAAGTTCTCGTGGATTCTTAAAGAAATGCTTAAATTACGTAGCACACCCTAAACAAGCCTAGCCCACCCACAGATTAGGGTCAATTGCACAAGAAATTATGGTGGGCCCTATAGCGCACTTGCACCACACAAAGCGTGCTCTTCTGGCTACCTCTTCATTTTGGAGCATCATGAAGCTAGCCTAGGCATTTTGCATAAAGGGAAAGCAAGCCTGCACATGATGTTGTCGTGGCACTAATTGCAGCAGTAGCTGTGAAAAGCACGTGATAAATCTAGACTTTATTTGTAGTTTACAAGTTCTCACAATTGTTCGTTGAAATTTTATAACAGTGATCACTTTGTACCTGCACGACTCTCTCTTCTCTTATCCATTCGCAAGTAATGTCGCATGTACCATCAGCTCAAGGTTGGCATTCCAATTAGTAAATGAACGAAACAAGACAGATTGCACTCATCTGTCTCGTTTCATTCTTTCTTTGTGTCTCGTCTGCAGCGCATAAAGTTTGCTAGAAGATGAATCCTTACCAACTCGCCCAACTTTCAACGCTTGTTACACATATTTCATGCTGCTTGCTGCTCTTCTAGCGATGCAGACGGTGCAACGCGGCATTTCCGGGTGCTACAGTATTAAATCGCGTAATCCTCGTACTCGCATGATTCTCGCACCCCCCACATTGCCCAACAAAAATACCATTTCTTTTTTTTTCCTCGAGTAATTGTCGCACCCCCGAAAACTGCCGCAATAATGTCGTCTGTTCGTTCCAGCCACTGATGATGATAGCGTGCGCCATCTCTCAAGCATCAAGTGTACTATTATTGCACAGAGATTCAATCCAATCCAAGCAAAGCCAAAGTGATAAGTGCGCGTTGCGGCGGGTTTTGTATGTTGTGTCGGTAATCTTGTCACGTTATGAGGCGATACTGAAGCTACACGGCTGATTTCAAATTGAAAGTAATAGATCATGCAGTCTCGTAGACCTTTGGAGTCTACGAGTTTTGTGTTCGCTATTGGTGACAGCAGCTGAAAGCCACCAAGACGCGTTGGACCTGCTGTGTGCCTTAACCTGGGATTGATGATAAACATTATTTCTTCAGGTGGAAACTGCGGACGATTCTGTTAAATAGCCATCAGCCCAACACTGACGTCCTACGTTTACCTTTTGAGGGCTCCTGTTGAGCGACGAATGCTACCGCTACGCCCACAACGCCCACAAGCTTTGCGTATAGTATTCTAATTCTCGACTATTCGCTTGCACTTTTTGTGTCTCAAATAAGTCTTGCCTTGTGTTGAACCTGCACTTTTATTGTTGAAGTAAATTTCAATTAGTACTTCTCAAAGCTTGCTGTTAGTTGCTGGTGTGAGAATCTCGATTTGCAGTCACTTCGTTTTCTTTCTCGCTCTGTACGTTTTTGTGGAAAGTTTTCCCCGCGTAATTCTCGCATCCCCCAACTTTGCATAGGTTTTCCGCCAAAAAAAGTGCGAGGATTATGAGAGTAAATACGGTATATAAAGCTCTCCCAGAACACTGTGTAGGGGTTTAATGACCAGAAGAAACATTTAACGACCCTGGCTTGGCATTATTACAAAGACACAAGCAAGGGGCTACGTGGAGACAAATTTAGAGCTACAAAAGTGGCATTGCCTGACTGCTAACAGTATGAGCAAGGTTATGCTGCTGCCTTCACTATTATGATAGGCCTACCTTCTCCCTAAAGAAGCATTCATTCCACAGCAGAATACTACCTCTGCAAACATGAAGCAAGGCAACAACAATAACAACAAAATGACAAACAACAAAATGCTGTGTCTCTTTTTCTGGGACACAGCAACCCTAATATATACTTGGAGGATGGTTGAGCTTCACATCTAAAAGTAAAATGCTAATCAGGTTCCGTTTGCATCACCTTTTCTATTGCTAACCTGGCTTTGGTTCACGGTGCGTTACTCAATTATGCCACAAGAAAGGAACCCTAATATATACTTGGAGGATGATTGAGCTTCACCTCTAAAAATAAAATGCTAATCGGGCACCGTTTGCCTTACCCTTTCTATTCCTAACATGGCTTTGGTTCACGGTGCGTTACTCAACTATGCCACAAGAAAGGAACGTCTCTGCACGTAACATTGGCTGTTTTAAGGTATCCTAGAGTGCCTACAGTGAGTACAGTTGCGCAGTGTCCGTTACACCATAGTTCTTCATTTTGTGAGTTCACAAAAGGCCCATTACGTGTCCGTAAGGCAATTTGCAAACCAATGTAGCTGCATGCTTAGTTCATCCTTGAAGCGGTATGAGCCTTTGGACAGAAGATGAAGAAGCGCGAGGGCCGGGGCAGGAAAGAAGAGGAGGATGAAGTGGAAAAAAAAAGCAGATTAAGATGGACGCCAGTTCCATACTGAAGCTTTAATGCTGTTCCGTTATTTTAAGTAGGAACACTACATTATTTTGGCGCAGCCGGCCATCGAAGCCATCATGTGGGTGACGTTCTTCATAGACGAGACCTCCGAGGAGATCATCTTTTCGAAGTACCAAGTTCAAGACGAAGCAGCGGTAGACCTACCTCGTGAGCTCAGCTCGGAAGAACTCGTAAACCTGGTTGTGGAAAAGGCAGCCGTAGACACTACTGAACTACGACGGAAAGGTGCTGTGAAAGTGAACTTGCGTGTGGCAACCTTCAACGACCTAGTCCTTGAACCAGCGCGTCGAAAACACTCAGGATCACGATCTTCGACGGAAGAGGTGAGCCTCGTTTTGAAAGCTTTTCAGCTGCAACAGGAACAGATGCTTCAACAAAACCAAATAATGACATCTCTTATAAGCTCTCTGAATGCTGAGAGACCGACACCTAATTTCGTAGAACCTGATGCTTTCGACGGTGTGTCTTCAAATCCAGAAAGTTGGCTTGATTTCTACGAATATGCCGCTGGAAAAAACAAGTGGCTCTCTGATGAGGCTAAAATCACCAACATGCGCGTTTACTTGAGAGGTGTTGCGCGAAAGTGGTATGAAACATGCATTCTGGAAGACAGTGACGACTCTTGGAGCCAGTGGAGGAAAAAGTTTTTGACTGCATTCCGAAGCAATCCAGTAGAAAGATGGAACACGGCGCTTAATTTCAAGTCTGAGCAAAGCTGCCTTGTCGAGTACTTCTTTGAGAAACGCCGTCTTTTAAAGCTGGCGGAGCCTTTGCTTCCATCTACGGCCGTAGTTGCCTTAATAATGCATGGATTGCACACTAACGTGTTGAAGCAAGTGCAAATACTGTCACCAAAGACTCTAGATGACCTCCTCGCGTGTCTTCAGAACATACCATCAGCTTCGGAAACAAGCATAACCGCCGAGTCAAGCAGCTGTTTCAGTCGGAGTAAATCGGACTGGTCAAGCCGCGCTCAGCGAGAACCGAGCCACCTCGCAACTCGCACAGATAACTTGCCCTGGCGTGTTCCAAGAGGTCGAGTGAATAATATCGACACTGAAGCTCAGGAGTATTCGACAGAAAAAAAACTAATAAACGAGGGTGATCAGTCCCACCCGATGACTCCAAATGAGACTGTTTATTTAAGTTGCTCTAGCCTACTTCACATTCCCGTCAAAGTAGGAAACAAACATATGATGGCTCTGGTAGACAGCGGTGCTTCTGTGTCCATTATAAATGCCAAGCTGGTGGATGCAAATCGCTTGCATAGTGGAAGAATTCTACGAGTACAAGGCTATGATGGAAAAGTAACGTTGCATGATCAGTGGGCCTTGGTAAACATCGAGTTCCAGGGTCAGCAAATAGAGAGCGAAGTGTTGGTGATAGAGGGGGTAACGTACGACTTTTTGCTATCAAGACCAGATATAAAGAAACTAAAGATCAACGTGTACTGGGACGATGTGGTTCTAGTAGAAGGAGTAGCAAGGAACGAGACAAATCAAGGTAGACAAGATAATCTACGAGTTGTCAAGTGCGCGGCGGATATCGCAACGACCTACCCTGAACTTGTATGCATAGGAAGCTATCCTCAGGCGATGAAGTCCCACAAGGTTCCTTTCGAACTCGCTGACAAGACCGTCATCCGGAAAGCACCTTACAATATGTCAAGGGAGCGAAAGATGTGGCTCAAGAAAGAGTTGCAGGAGATGCTAGATGCTGATATCATACGACCTTCGGTATCACCCTTCGCTTCTCCCATAACGATCGCACCGAAAGAAGACGGAACCTTCAGATTATGCACCGACTACAGGGTTCTCAATCGTCAGACAGAACTCATACCATTTCCTATGCCGAAGATCGACACAATTATAGATGAGACCGGGGGTTGCCGACATTTTTCCCGCATCGATTTATGCAAAGGTTTCTGGCAGATCCCACTAACCGAAGAAACAAAAATGTACACCGCTTTTATCACGCCATTCGATCTCTACGAATACAACCGGCTCCCTTTCGGTTGGAAAAACTCGCCAGCGTGGTTCCAGAAGATCATGAACGACGTCCTAAAGCCATTCCTTGGTGTTTTTTGTAATGTGTACATAGACGACATTATAGTCTTCTCCAAAACAGAGGCTGAGCATCAGGACCATCTGTCTCAGGTGTTAAACGCCTTGAGCTTGGCACATCTCAAGGTTAATTTTAAGAAGAGTGTATTCTTTCAACAAAAAGTGGTGTTTCTTGGAAGAGTCTTCGATGGGAACACCAAAAGCACAAAACAAGAGTCCGTCGAGAAGATCTCCCAGTTGAAGAAACCATATGACGTCCATTCACTGCGTGTGTTTTTGGGATTGGCAGGACATTTCCGATCTTTCATAAAGGACTTTGCTGTCAAAACTAGATGCCTCACGCGCTTAACGCAGAAAGAAGTTCCCTTTGAATGGAGTGACGAATGTGAGAGAGTCTACCGTGACTTGGTGCACAGAATTTCTTCTGACCCCGTTCTGCGTATACCAGATTTCACTTTACCCTTTGAATTGAACACTGACGCCTCACATTATGGGACTGGTGCAGTGTTGTATCAAAAATGTATTGAAGCATCTGGCCGAGAAAAGCGACACGTAGTCGGTTACTACAGTTACACTTTCAAGCCGTCTGAAACAAACTACACTACTACGGAAAAAGAAGCACTGGCGGTTCTGAAGGCCGTTGACTACTTCCGCACGTACCTGGAAGGTACGAAGTTCACTTTGTTCACCGATCACCAGGCACTCACTCATCTCTTGAATATGACCCAAACTAAAGGGCGTATCGCCAGATGGGTGAATTACTTGCAGCAATTTGACTTTACCATCTCGCACCGACCAGGACCGCTTTTAACCGATGCAGATGCTCTATCAAGATTGATGGTACAAAACAACACAGAAAAATCTGAAGAAATCAATGAAGTGAAGCTGTGGGAAGGCTCAGAACAACTGGTTTTTACGGAAGGTCGGTATCAAGTCCCACCAACTCTTGTTTCCAAAGTGCTTTACTTGTACCACGATAGCCCAGAATCTGGAGGACACGACGGCTTTTGGCGTACCTACAACAAGTTGGTCAAGAGGTTTACGTGGCCTCACATGAAGAAAGACGTTAGTCAGTACGTTCGTTCATGCCATGTGTGTCAAGTACACAAAGTCAAGTATAAACAGCCTACGGACACCATGATACTACCTTGCCACTCGAACGTGCCTTTTGAAGTAGTTCACCTGGATTTCGCCGAACTTAACAAGAAACGGGAAGGAGTCAGAAAAACGCAAGCTTTTCTGCTGGCCATAGATGAATGCACCAGGATGGTCGCGGCACGAGCAGGAAAAGAAGATGCAAATAGCGTCATAACCCTTCTCGAAAGGGACATGTTTAGAACTACGCGGACAATCGTATGCGATAACGGCCCCGCGTTCAAGAGTGAAAAGCTAGTAAGATGGGCTCGAGATCACAATGTATCGATCAAGTTCTGTGCGCCATACCATCCTGCGGCGAATGGGCTTGCAGAACGTGCCATACGGGACGTGAAACAATACATCAAGATGTACGATAGTTTTCCTGGGGGATGGAAATGTTCTTTAGAAGCAGCCGTAAAACATCATAACCGATCCTACACCAGTGGCTTGGGGTGCAGTCCACAGTACGCTTCTACAGGAGAGACCCCTATTCTGCAGGCAGACCGTGAGTTGGGACTCTTGGAAAACCTCAAGATTGTCGAGGAGAGGCAACAAAAATCACAGGAGGAGAGGTACCGAAAACGAATGAAAAAGAATTTCGACAAGAGGCATCGAGCAGACATGCCAGACATTCAAGTCACCGACCTCGTACTAGTGAGAAAAGGAATAAGAGATTCCAGTGCCAAATTTTATGGGCCTTACTTTGTGACCAAGACAGCCACCCAGAACGGAATTTTGAAGACTGTCTGGTACACTGGTGAACGTGGATCTGTTGAATGTGCTTCAATTGGGAATGTCTTCAAGTATTACCCCAGGAGGGGTAATTAAAAGAAAGCGGGAAGGGTGAAGCGGTATGAGCCTTTGGACAGAAGATGAAGAAGCGCGAGGGCCGGGGCAGGAAAGAAGAGGAGGATGAAGTGGAAAAAAAAAGCAGATTAAGATGGACGCCAGTTCCATACTGAAGCTTTAATGCTGTTCCGTTATTTTAAGTAGGAACACTACAATCCTTTTGCTGCTGATGATGATTAATTATGTCTGAGCACTTTATAATGGGCAGGCTTTGAAAACACTTTCTCAGAGTGCAATTCACATCTTTACCCCACCCCCTTGAATGTTTCAGTTTTTTTTTATACATATACAAGCACACACACACACAAACACACACATGGACATGGTTGCACGAATGCTTTCTCGAAAAATTTGTGGCTATGCCTCTGAAGGCATGCACCAATTTGAAGCTTTTGCACACAACCCACCTCGGGACAGTCAGTGTAGTCGAAGAGCCGAAACACCACCATGGGGAAGGGGTAGACGTAATGTGGTTGGTGTGGCGGTGGGGGCAGGCTCGGCAGATTGTGTTGCAGAGCCTCACACAGGACACCGTCAAATGCCAGGTAGGGACGCACCAGCTGCCGCTCTACCCATTTCTCAGAGCGCAGCTTTGACACTTGCGCCCAGAGGCAGTCTAGCCCCTGCAAGGCAAACGCAGGTCAACAAGAGTAGCAAAGCTGTAGTACTAATCATGATTTCAACAGTCCAGGTGTGTAATGTCTCCTTGAGTTAGGGCCAGCAAAACTGGTATATTGCATTATGATAGAGGGCAATGAAAAGGCTATCTTCTAGGACAAAAGTGTGTGTTTTGGGCAAGTGCAAATGCTTTCCGGTCACAATGAGAATAACAGCTTTCGTACGTAAAATAAAAGCATAGGTGGCAAATTCCTTTGGCACATAAATGTGCACATGCAGCACGCATTTTTTTTCTCAATCCATTCAATAATTCTGACATTTGGTTAGTTCAGACATTTTCTGTCTGATCCCATGAACTGGGAATGAGGTTTTAATGTGGTTACTTGTTACGCTTTTAAATCCCAAGACTTGTGAACCAAACGAAGACGATAGATAAAGCAGCGTGTTAACCAAGCAGAGCAGACAAAATGAACTCTACAAAATGTCCCCAGTTCCCCCAAGATAATGGTTGCAATCAACAGTAAGTGAAATTTGATATGTACAGGCAATGAAAAGGAGTTGTATAACTGCATAACAATGACAATATGAAACTTTAACATTTTGAGACTTTCAGACATTATCAAAGCAAAAGCAGAAATTGACAAAATTATGCTATGTAAAAGCATGATGTAATCTTCTTTCTTTAAAAATGAAATTATCGAAATGCTACTATGTACTATATAAACTAGCCAAGACTAGATTTTTTTTATGAAGTGCACAGCAGCCATTTGCAGCAACTGAATGAGCACCACAAGCTAGTATTTGATATATTTTTTTCCTTGTGTAGACATATGTTTCACAACAGTTTGTCACCAACGCATACAATCCATCTTTCTGTATTGACAATTTTAATATACCACTTGGCCTTGGTGCTTTATTACACTAAACATAGGTTCTTTTACTACTGTACATACATTCTTACACTTAACCTGCCAATCAATCCTTTGACTTATGCTCCACATTTACTTATAATCGTCTTCACCAGCTTGCTGGTATGCTATTGTGATTCTATAAATTGCAATAAAAGCAATAAAGCTATTAATGGTTACTTACTTGTGAGTAAAAAAAGGAAAGCATGAAGGAAATGTGGTAAAACGGAGACCAATGCTACTGTAATCTAGTGGCCTGAGCTATATATAAACCGGCTTCTCTTCTTCACAGCCCACCAAGTCTTTGTCCCATTACTTACTCTTTCCCGCAAGAGATTGAGAGCACTAGACCAACACTCACCTCCTCCTGGGCATGAGGAACTTCTGCTTGCCAGACACGCAAAGCTGGGGCATGCCTCTTCTGCCGCTTGCTGTTCATGAACATGTGCATGAATGAAAAAAACAAAAAAAAAAACATGACGGTCTGTATTCAGATACTTCACAACTGAAACGCTAGCATGCTGACATTCTTCAAAACAACACTGTTATGTGTGCCCTCAAATTCGCATCACAGCTAAGCTCATAGCATGCTGCACTGTGTATGCGACATGCTGGATAGGCTGCTTATAGTCCGTTGGCCAACCATGCATATTCCAACTGGTAGTTTGAACATGAAACTTCTACCAGTGTTCTATTACTCATACTGGATGTTGAGCGAATAGAGCAGTAATAGTAATAATGAAGGACCAACAACCACCAAATCGCATCACCTGTTATATATTACCTTGAAGCTCGACCATAAAAGCTGAAAGTTTGAACACTTCTAGCTTGAAAGATCAATGTACTAACAGTGTGTCCGGACTTTTCAAATCTTTCGAACATACATCACTCAAATAGATGCACCTCAAAGAAGATCAATTCAACGCCTCTTTATTTCAATGCTAGTGCAAACGTGCGCTTATCAACAGGAGCCGTTGGTCCGCCTTAGTTCAGGAAATGGTAGTGATGCGATGCTGCATGACGGGTCGCGCTGCTGGTGCCACACGTGCTTCTGAGCGCTTTCCCCCGGAAATGTGATAGACGCGCTTCTCTCTGCAATAGGCCGATGAGAGAAGAGGACGTTCGGCTAGCGAGATAGGCCTCCGGTGCATGACAACTTCAAGTCTACCGGTACGCCAGAGCGGAAAAAACACATTTCTAAACGTAACAATATTATACGTCTGTCAAATTCGTTCCTTTGTGCTCTTTTTTTGTGGCTTGAAGCAATGCCACCACCGGATCACGGCACACCGCATCTAGAAGCGTTGCAGTGGCGCTTCCCCATTGGTTGTCCGCATAGCGCCACAAAAGGCGACAAAACAACCTATCTTTTACAGAGCTATCGTGACTGCCAACATAGTGAACACGAGGAATGCAAGACGCCGCCTCACGCATCTGTACACCAACTAAATGAAAATTACTTGGTATGATTTCCGTCGTGAGGTACTGCACGAGGGGGCTCCCTACCCTATGACAGCAAAGCACAAGTGAAGGCTAGGCGATGGGCGAGAGCAGGAAAGGTGTAGAAGAAAGGATGGTGAACAGCTGGATCAGGCGCACTTGGCTGGCATTGATAAAATAGAGGAGGCATTGATCAAGCTGATCTTGCTCACTGGCTTTACGTTTTGCAAGCAAACAGTTTCAACCCCAACCATTTCAGCAATAGCACAGTACCCATAACAGCAGCATACACTGCAGCTTTGAGCTGTACTGGTGCCACCATCAATGGTGATGAAAACCGAATGCTAAGGGCTGATAAAAGCATTGCTTGCAAAATATCTCTCTGCTTCCCGTATTTGCATTCACTTTCATCTTGGTTAATTACTCTTCCTCTGGTTTTATATTTCCCTGCCGATTCTGCTCTACTAGACAGCTATGCAATTTCTTACGTTTACTCTTTTACTTTATTTGTTTGAAAATGACAGGGTCGATTTTATTGCTGTGCATGCGCACAGTCAAGCACAGTCTGCACAAACAGTGTGCTAATGCGCAAAAGGGGGCAATGCCACAGTCCTTTGTCAAGTTTTGTTATCGCCCCATGAAACGTGTGAGTGCTGTTTTGCGCAAACCACGCCGATTGACTAAGAACCACCGAGATAATCTTGGAACCTTCCGATGTGATTACATGCACAACTCAAACATTACAGATTGTTTTGGAATATACATGGCTGCTAGCAATAATACTGTAACATCCGATGGCACATGTATAAATGCCAACGCACATGACTGCTTGTCAGTAATGGACGGCCAACACTCTGTTCGCTGCTGCCAGTGCCAGTGTGTATTGCTGCAATTGGACTTTCCGTTTACCGGGCACATCTTCCACCTAATAAACAATTTTCATCTTGGACATACCAGCTGGTGTCTTCATTCACATTACAACCCGCATGACAATATTATAGCAATGTCTTGTAAGCTGCTATCTGTCTTGTAAGTGGCTATGTTGATGCAGCTTCAGTTTCTCTACTCATGTCATGAAGTTGCTGAGAAACACAGATTGCTCATGGAAATTCACTCATGAACATAAGAGAAGGACACCTAGTCGGAAACTATCTTGCCTCATTTATCCTCACAAGAAACGGACAAACGTATACAGCAGGGGTGGCAGAAGCTATGCCGCTGATGTGGTGACAGTTGAATGAAATCAAGGAACATCCTTCTACCTATGGTCAGCGTCTAAACACAGTTGAACTGTTGTGATGCATAAGGAAGTAGACATGACAAGGCAAAGTATCTGACTGATACCACAAGTTGCAGTGGCATTTGCACGATGCTTGCTCCCATGGCAAAAATATATAAAGAAACAGCACAGAGAAGGTATTTGAGAATATGGCGCCACGTTGTTTCTGTGCAACGGAAATGCAAACGTCCTCGAAAATACATGAGATCCTATAGTGGTGTGAGAAAGGGTGCAACTGCCTTTCTTTTCGCTAGTTGCCAAGGGAGCCAGCAATGGCTTCATGATACCAGTGCATGAAGTAGATAGATAGGAAGAAGTCATCCAGCATCAAACCACCTGTTTGTACCTGTAACCACTATGAGGACATTGTCATAAGAGATGAGGTGGTGAGGCCAGGGTGAGTTTCCCTAGCCCAACCAAGAGATTATAGAGACGCCATTGCAGCATGGATATATATATGGCACAGGCAGGAAAGCCAGTGAAAGAGAGACTAAAGGCTGTTGTTGCCGAGTGAATAAATTGGAACTTAACATCAACCTTCATTATTATAATCTGGCAATGGCAAATTTTTCAATGAGGCTATTTTAATTTTTTTTTTCACGTAAGATTAAAAAAAAAAAGTGGAATGTTCGTTCCACTTTCTGAGTCCACGGAGAGACCACCGGAATCCGTCACAATATGCTTCAACCTATCCCACTTTGTTATTGCGATGAAGCCACTTTTCACACTCTGCTACGGTCACATATGTACTGATTCAAGAAAACAATGGTTCCAACATGGAGGTGCACTGCGCCGTTACAATGGCCCCTATTTTCAACATGCTTCAGTGCAATACACCCTAGTATTGCGGCAAAGCTACCTTTAGGTCTCGGTTACAGCTGTAAACAAATTGACTTGTGAAAGCGCTGGCTCGGACCGACCCGGCAGAGGCGGTAGTTATAACTAATAATGTTTCAGACAAGAAAGTGTAACAAAATTGGCCGAAGATTTTCAGCAATCAAAATTTCAGATGTTTTTGTACGTACATTGACGTCTACAGAATAGATTAGCAACTCTGAATTTGAAGGGCCCTTGTTTGCCATATTAATTGGGCCTCCACAGTAGTTGGAAAGGGGAGCCTTTCATGTGTAAAATATTGGCAGCACCACATTGGTTGCACCAAATTATGTAAATAAGTACAATCCCTCCAGCACTTCACCGACCTAGCCACAAAACACACTTTTATGTTCTTATCTCATAAGAAAGCAGTACTTAAGGAGCCTCTCCAACCTTTTTTCAGTAGTTTCTCTTCGAAGTACTCAAAAAAATACTAAACAAATATTCGACAAACATTCGATCCAATTAAGACCTATACTTTAACATTCAAATTCGCTTCGCACCCTGAATTTTTTTATTCACACAGCTTTATAAGATATGCTTTTAGTAGCACCGAACCTTCTGTACAGTCCAAGTGAACGTGCTTTTGAATGCTATCGATGATGAATCAGCGCCACATGCAGCTCACATACCTGATGTAGTCGTCAATATGGCGCATCAGCCTGTCCAATTCTTGGTCCTTTTTTTCATAGAGCTCTCGCCCCACCTGGGTTGAGAGAAGCACGCAAAGCACTATGTAATAGGCAGCTTCAAGCTCACCACTTTCACGGTTAGAGGTTCACAGCATGCCTATTGCTGATAAACAACAACTAAACAACCAACGAATACATCTACACATGAGAAAGGAATGAAGGAAAAAGTGATGAAGAAGGAATAGACAGGCACAGTGCTGATTAGTCTCAAGTGAGAGAGTATTCAATGTTGATAAATAATGCATGAACACACGCATGTAGAAAATAAACAAAAAAATTAGAAGAACGTTTGGCAAGGTATGGTATTATAGCATGTCTTCAGCAAAGAACAAGTAGACCAAGTTACGTGCAAGTGCACATTGTCCGCATGAACACAGTAATGATTACTGCAAGGAAATGATCCAATAAAAATGGCTGTCATCTATGATAATGATGTAGTACTATATGAGAAATGTCACACATGTTTAGCCAAACAGTTCTCTATCTCAGTGATTGATCACTGAATGAATCATGAACCTTTGAGCAGCTACTAAGACGTGACAGATTCAGGAAACATTTTTGTATACACAGGCGCAGCCAACGCACCATCTGCAGTAATGTACAGTTGCAAGATGGATAATATGAATGCGCATCGTTTGGTGTGGTTTGTTGGCTTCAACCCCTCCGCTTCCCCAAAACCATTTTTCGTAAACTGTGTGGATACGATAAAAGCCTTCAGTTGAGAGTGACTGCTGTGTCCTTCCTTTATACATGTTTTGAGCTCCTTGCAGCTTCATTCAAATATGCTTCTGATACTGCACATTCTTGCCTTATAATTTAGGGTTCCTGAGACTTCTTTTGAAAACCACTGCTTTTTTTTGTTGTTTCTGTTTCATCACATTTATTGCAAATAGCATGTGACACTTGTGAAAAGGCCTAAATGTGCTACAGACAAATAATGTTTTCTTAATGTTATTACAACAAGCCTAATGAGTAGAAACAACAGGATGGGAGTGAAGGTAAGTCGTTACACTAGTCCATGTTCATCATTCGTTCCTATTTAAAGGGCTAGTAAATACCTCATGGCCTAATATTCTAATGGAAAAAATATTGAATTGAATTTTATTGCTCATAACTGTTGAAAGTTTGTATACACTGTGTGGGGATATAGCCATATGCTAGCTTAGGTCCAAAAATGAGACATTTTATAATAACACTTCAGATAAGCATAACTAAAGAAGTTATATAGTAATAGCTAATATTGAATATGGAAAGAAACAATATTGTACATGAGATAACCATACAAAAAAAGAGAAAACTGTTACTACACAAAGAACAAAAACCAGACCACTGCTCACTAAAATTAAAACAGCCAACAAAGTAAGCATGACCGGTCATTATCAATCTGTACATTCTTCTAAATAGTGTTTTTCTGACGTCTTAGTGAAGTCTGAACATTTTTTTATTGAAAAGGTTTGTAATTCCAGATTTTAATACTATAGAACTGTATAATCCATTCACCATATACATTGTTAGTTGGTAGAATATTCAATTTGCCAAAAGTTGGTTGTCTGGTAGAGCGAGAAGGGGCGGAAAACCCCGACACATTGAAAGGGTGGTTGTAATTAATAACCGTGTATACATAATTGGCTAGTTTTAATTTCCTTAGCTTATCCAATGAAAAAATGAGCAATCGGGAAAACAGAGGTTTACTAGGTTCATTATACTCAAAATGAGTAATAATTCTTACAGCCCGTTTTTGAATTCGTCTGACCAGGTCCAGGTAAGTTGTGTATGTGCCGCCCCAAAACTCAATGCAATATGAGATATGACAATGAATGAAAGCATCATGAAGTATTCATAGAGTATTAAAGTGTTGACAAGCCTGAGTAAGTGCGTGAATCCTGAGGATAATTTGGAACACACAGTCTGAATCTGCCAATATAAGTTGTTATCTATAGTGACACCAAGATATTCATTCGTGGTTACTTGCTCAATAACATAATAGTTAATTTTAATGTGTATATCCTTATAATTGATTGATTTGTGGGGTTTAACGTCCCAAAACCACTATTTGATTATGAGAGACGCCGTAGTGGAGGACTCCGGAAATTTTGACCACCTGGGGTTCTTTAACGTGCACCCAAATCTGAGTACACGGGCCTACAACATTTCCGCCTTCATCGGAAATGCAGCCGCCGCAGCCGGGAATCGAACCTGCGACCTGCGGGTCAGCAGCCGAGTACCTTAACCACTAGACCACCGCGGCGGGGCGTGTATATCCTTATAATTAATGAGCTTTAACCTAGAATGAAATGTAATACATTTATTCTTATCGGTATTTTTATGGAGTTTAGTATTTGATAACTAACGAGCAGCCTTTTCTAATCTGTTAGTAAACTTCGATGCAAGTTCACCTAAATTGTGACCTGTTACTATGACACAAGTAAAGTCAGCATGCATCAAAATGTTAGAAGACTGTAATATCTGTGGAAGGTCATTATTATACAAGTAGAAGAGCAATGATCCCAGCACCAAGCCCTGGGAACACCAGTATTCGACTCATAGACGACATGAAACCATTAATTAAAACACCCTGTTGACGATCTTTCAGGTAGTCTGAAAGTACTCCTAAAATGATTCCACGGAAACCATAATGTAGTAATTTATTCAGAAGTATTCTGTGGTCTACGGTGTGAAATACTTTTTTTAGGTTCAGAAAGATCACTGCTACCAACTTATTTTCACTCAATGCTGTGTTTATAACTTCAGTAAGGGCCATAACAGCAGTGGAACGTAAAATAGCTTGGTCTAAATCCACTGTTGCTGATGGGAGACTACTGCACTTGTACAATGTGAACATGCTGCCACAAGAACTTGTGAATAAGTGCTGTAATAAAGAAGTTATCCCTCTTGCAGCGAAAAGTGGGAGGCATAGCTCTTCAGTTGCAACTATGCCCAATTCGTCAATCTAAGATGATGTCGCAAATATGTTATCAACGTCCAGCCAACGACCGAGCCAGGGTACACCCCGGGCAAACATGTCAGCAATGCAGGGAGGAAGCGCGGTGCAAAGAGCAGCCTTTCTCTGGCAGTAAAGAAGCAAGACGCTTTTAATCTCAGAGGCTTTCATTCTGGCAATACCGCTTCTGGTAGTCTTGAGCTCTACCAGAGAGCAGCACAGGAAATAGAAAATGCGGACTGTGTGTCCAAAACTGCATCATCGCAGGGCCAAGGTACCATTTCGGGGTTCAAAGAACCAATCGAGAAGCTCAGGGGTGCGTAATGTTGCCAGTGGGCAAGATTTAGTCACTGCGCGTACAAGGAGAATTCGTCAGTCGCATGAAGGTGCGAAAATTGTTTTCTGAAATAAAGGGTGCGTGCGGCGCGCAGCGTTGCAATATTCACAAGGTATGATCGCCACGGTCTACTGTATGAATAAGCAAGATTATTTTGGGGGGATGTGAAAAAAAACAGTCAGAGCCCGTTTGTTGGCCCTCTAAAGGGGCCCTGTAACACTTCTTAAGCATGGTCAGGAAATGCAGCCGATCGGTAATCAATGCTCCTGAAAACACGCAAGCTGCAGCAAACAGCCTGGAATTCACAATTGATCTTCAAGGGCAGCCAGATATAATTCCTTCTTCTCCTAACAAATCATGCTATAAATACAAATGACCGTGCCTTAAATCAGAGGGTCACAGCCATTAACAGGTTTGAGTATCATGAGCTGCATGGTTATTGCGGCCGCTGTGGGATGCCGCCACGTGCCCGCACAAGCTCGAAATCACATTGAAAGTAAGCCTAGCATTCAAGGAAAAAAAGAAAACAATAGGAAGCGCGACAAATCCTTGTAACTCGGCTCATATGTGGTGGATTCTAAAATTTTTCACGGTTGTCAATTAGTGAGGCAATAAGCTCCTTTATTGAAGACATTCAATGATTACTTCGTTATTCAGATTGATGCAGACGAATACTGTACAACCTCGATATATTTCATTTCAAGGTACCATACGGACATAAAAGCAACACAATAATTTGTTTAGCATTTGCGAACTGAAGCTACATGTTACGATCATGAAATTTATAGCTATTGAATAAATTTAAAAGAATACAAATTCCAGTGACACTGCTATTTTAAGTGAACATGCACAAATACCGTACTTTAATATTGACACGTGTGTATATCTTTTATTCGCGTTGCACTGCGACAATATTCATGGTTAATTTATGATGTCAATATCAGTACTGAATGTTACACTATTTGGACACTTGCACAACTGTACTCAGAAGCAAACACATTTAGGCCCCAGCGCATGAACACGCTCACTCACCCATGGCAATGCAGTCAGGACAGCATAAACATACCAGTCAGAGCGAACCTGCAAATTGAATTAAAGACATAGAACCAGAACAGTGAATACTAACAGGAAATGTATGTTGTGAAAGGCTAAAAAATAATCAAATGAGCAAATTTCCTCCTCACAATAGTCGACAAATGTTATGCTAGCGCCACAAAGCACAAGGAGTCGTGGTGCTGGCCTCACCTGTGGTATGTTTTCCTCAAGGGTGACCTCGAGCATGCTTTCGAAGAGACTGACCACCGAGCCAACAGAAATGACGTGGCAGTTGACGAGGTCCGCAAAGACTCGCACCTACATCAGTGAACATGATGTTGCATTCACTGAAGCAATGATATCTGGGTTATATCTGACAGTTGAAACTTACAATGATCCTCGCATCTTCAAACTTGCAATCTCTGAGCCGCTCCTTGTAATTTTTCACCAAGAGCTCCACAAGCTGCGAGGAATAGTATGCAGCATTTAAAAACAAATGCTCGATCTGTTAGAAGGAGCAGCGCACGAACGAGGGTTCTCAACAAGGTAAAGTCACAAACTGAGCTGATGCTTCAAATATTGTAAAGCTCAAACGCCTTCTTCCCTTTGTAATGAAGAAACGGGGGAGGGGGCACATATTGGGCATGGAGGCATAACATACATGGTCATAGAAAGTACGTGCAGGCTGCAGGGTACTTGTTCTTCATTGCCATGACGTGGTGCCAGCTTTAGATTTCTTGGATGTATCGGCATAAGACTTCCATTTAGTGCTCTTTAAAGGGAGGCTAAACTACTAAAGGCCTGAATACAATAAACAATAGCAACACTCCAATCATTATCAATACAAAATTTTTTAAATGCACTTGATGTTAAAAAAATAAGAACCACAGTACATGCTGTCACTGTTAGAACATACCTATTCCATTCCTACATGGGCTTCGCTCCTTTGTAATTTATGACAAGGTACCAGAAGAGAAATTCTCAATAATTACGGTTAATTTATGTTCCTCTCTTTTCTTCTCCTTTTCATCAAACTTCCTTTACCTCAGAAGGTGCCACTTTAACTTTATCCAGCAGCAGGCACTTGCTACAATGAAATGAGTAAATACTTCCTTCACAAGAGATACAGCGAGCTGAGCTTCTAGGGAATGATTTTGGTAAAATTGCCATGGTGATTTTATAATGCACTCGGGTGTTGAGTATGTTCCTTACAAACACATTATTTTACTTCTGCTGTGTTAATTAAGCTAGCCATTGCAAAAAGAAAAACCTATTTCATTTTATATTTGCATTAAATTATATGCTAATTTATGATTGTCCATGTGGGTGCTAGGTTGTTACTATCAACACTAACTTTAGTTAGATGCCAATTCTACAAAAGGACGAAAGTTCATCAAACTTCTTATTCAGTTAAGAGCTTACCTCACCGCCGAAGTTATAATTACGCGCATTGAGCAGGCCAATGAGCGTTGTGTAGATGGTTGTCTTCTCTGGCATGAAAATGGCACTGCAAGAAATAGGAGCCCAAATGCATTAACTTCACAAGAGATTCTTTACTGGTACTAACATAGTTGTTCTCAATAAGCTATGAAACTATGGGACATAAAATTCAATACTAATCCCATAATTTCCAGAGAAGAAAGGTGCGAGGAAAAGGAGGGATGCGGGAACGCTCAAGTGACAGCAGAGCGTTTCACAGCGCAGTTAAATAAACAAGTATTTTTTGCATTATACCTTAAAGACGAAGTTGAGTCTGATCGCAGTGTCTGGAACGCCATCGTCCTAATATTTAGTGCCGATGAACCGGAATTGAAAACCGGGACCCTACAGACGGCTACCAGTGAACTGCAGTGGCATGGGCCGACTGAAGTCGAAGCGGACGTCGCGGCAAGCACAGAACATGCGGATTATAAACGAGGCAAGTGCTCTCCTCGCTAACGACTCTGCCTCCTATGACCAGCTCATCGGCTGGTCATAGGAGGCAATTTGAAGATCAAGTAGAATCTACTAGTAATGAGATGGTCGTTCTTCACGAAACGTCGGTCAAAGTCCTGGGTTTGGTTTGGAATCCTGCAAAGGATGAATTCAACTTTTCGGTTGAAAATCTACTCCGGTTTTTTACAGCACAGACGGTCACAAAACGATTTGTCTTGCAGTCTGCATCAAGAATATTTGACCCGTTGGGATTTGTAGGACCATATACCATTGCCATACAAATGTTGTTTCAGAAGCTGTGGATACGAGGGATTGGCTGGGATGAAGTGCTACCCAATGACTTGCAAAAAGAATGGAATGATTGGGTCATGCTGCCGCAACTGCAAGACGTCGTCGTTCCTCGCTATTTGGGCAGCGGAGCAAGGAAGCCCAATGTGCTTCAAGTACGTGTTTTCTGCGATGCCAGTCCAGCGCATACGGAACAGCGATATACGTCATGTCAAATCCTGAGGAGCCGAAACTGTTGATTGCGACGTCCTGTGTAGCACCCATTAAGGAGACAACGCTGCTGCGATTAAAGCTCCTGGCTGCCTTAATCGGCTCAAGAATGTTGGCATATGTGAAAAGCGCTTTGAGGAATGTTGTTGTTGTTGTTGTCTTTATTTTAGACAAATGTATGTCTCGGATACAAGGGCAAAAGGCAGATGTCCTCTGCCTGACGGGACCCAAGTACCCGAAAGCACCGCTCAGAGCATACAATATAAAAAGAAATACTATATAACACACTAATAATGCATGCGTAACATTGTTTTTGTACAGAATAAATGGAGTACATACTTGTACAGTAATAAAAAAAAGATTCATAACACTACAAATAACGAAACCAGAGAAGCATATGACCGCTATATACAGAACTTATCAATCTTGAGGACAGGATAGAAGGTAAGCTTTGATATATTTTTTGAAAGATTTCTATAACCTGAGTATGTTTGTTGAGACGACTGGGAATTAAATATGTAAGTGCTTGCGTTCCATAGGTGGTTCAGACAAGTGGAATTCTCTTCTATAATGGTCGTATCTTAATTCATAACGCACACAGCTACTAGATTGCAGTTCAATATATCTAGAATAAGCTTAATTTCGTTAAAAATATAACAGAGTAAATGAAACTCATATAGTTGATTCACCTTTAGAACACAGTGTTCTAAAAAGTATGAACCTGTGTGATCGTTGTATGATAGGTTTTCTACATATCGTATTGCTTTCTTCTGCAATCTTATTAGCCTAACAAGATTAGTTTTAGATGTAGACCCCCAAATCATTATGCAGTAGTGAAGGTGTGAATGAATTAGGGTGTAATATAGCTGCCACTTTAAAGATTTTGGAACAACGTCTCTAAGCTTGTGGAGTACAGCGAGGGACCTTGATATATTGGCATGAATTTTATTAATGCGATGGGACCAATCTAAGTGTTCTTCAAAAAAAGACACCTAAAACTTGTAGGAAGAAACACGTTCAATTATACTATTTTCAAATGCAAGCTGGAGTCGAAATTATCTGGTTTGTTATGTGCTTTAAATACAATAACTTTTGTTTTACTAACATTTAGGTTAAGTTTATTTATATGTAACCATATTGCTAATTCTTTTAACCATGCATTAGCTTGAACGCCTATTTTATTGAGTTGCATGCCAGAGAAAAACACACTAGTATCATCTGCGTACAGAGTGATTGCAAGAGTTCTTGGGATGGCTATAATATCATTGACATAGATAATAAAAAATATTGGACCTAAAATAGATCCTTGTGGTACGCCATATAATAACTCTTTAAACTGTGATGGGTAGCAGTTATAACAGGTGTACTGCAGTCTATGCGTAAAATAACTGCGAATTAATTTTAAGGCTACTCATCGAATGCCATAAAACGGTAGCTTATAGAATAAAATATCATGTTTAATAGAATCAAATGCTTTTTTGAAATCTAAAAAAGTCCAACAGTGAATCGCTTTTCATCTACGTTAGAAAGCATTTTTTCTTTTACGCTGAGTAATGCCATCTCCGTTGACTTCTCTTGACGAAACCCGAACTGCTCTTTCACAAGGACTTGTCTACTGTCAAAAAATTTACATAGTCTATCTTTTATCAAGTATTCTAACAGTTTAGAAAACAAAGATAGGACAGATATTTCAAGTTGACTACACGATGTGGACAGATTCCTCCACTGTGTTGTCATGGATAAAAGGTGACGTCAAAAAGTGGAAACAGTTCGTAGCCAACAGAGTCAATGAAATCAGGTGCACTACAGATCCATCAAAGCGGAGATACTGTCCTGGAACGGACAACTTGGCTGACCTACTCAGCCGTGGCACGATGCTGGAAAGACTGCTGTGCAGCTCAAAATGGTGGCATGGTCCCAAGTGGCTAACTAAACCGATGTTTGAATGGCCCCTACAGTTCAGTGAACTAGACATAGCAGAAGCCACCCAAGGTGAAGTTATAACAGTCCACGTCGCACTAATGACACGCTTCTCAGTTCCGATAATCGACATTCAACGGTACAGCAGGCTTCAGCACCTACTCAGTCACTGCGTGGGTTTCCAGATTTACTGACCGATGCAGAGAAAAGACGGATCATACAGGACATGTCAGCAATGCAGGGAGGAAGCGCGGTGCAAAGAGCAGCCTTTCTCTGGCAGTAAAGAAGCAAGACGCTTTTTAATCTCAGAGGCTTTCATTCTGGCAATACCGCTTCTGGTAGTCTTGAGCTCTACCAGAGAGCAGCACAGGAAATAGAAAATGCGGACTGTGTGTCCAAAACTGCATCATCGCAGGGCCAAGGTACCATTTCGGGGTTCAAAGAACCAATCGAGAAGCTCAGGGGTGCGTAATGTTGCCAGTGGGCAAGATTTAGTCACTGCGCGTACAAGGAGAATTCGTCAGTCGCATGAAGGTGCGAAAATTGTTTTCTGAAATAAAGGGTGCGTGCGGCGCGCAGCGTTGCAATATTCACAAGGTATGATCGCCACGGTCTACTGTATGAATAAGCAAGATTATTTTGGGGGGATGTGAAAAAAAACAGAGTCAGAGCCCGTTTGTTGGCCCTCTAAAGGGGCCCTGTAACACTTCTTAAGCATGGTCAGGAAATGCAGCCGATCGGTAATCAATGCTTCTGAAAACACGCGAGCTGCAGCAAACAGCCTGGAATTCACAATTGATCTTCAAGGGCAGCCAGATATGATTCCTTCTTCTCCTAACAAATCATGCTATAAACACAAATGACCGCGCCTTAAATCAGAGGGTCACAGCCGTTAGCAGGTTTGAGCATCATGAGCTGCATGGTTATTGCAGCCGCTGTGGGATGCCGCCACGTGCCCGCACAAGCTCGAAATCGCATTGAAAGTAAGCCTAGCATTCAAGGAAAAAAGAAAACAATAGGAAGCGCGACAAATCCTTGTAACTCGACTCATATGTGGTGGATTCTAAAATTTTTCACGGTTGTCAATTAGTGAGGCAATAAGCTCCTTTATTGAAGACATTCAATGATTACTTCATTATTCAGATTGATGCAAACGGCTACTGTACAACCTCGATATATTATATTTCAAGGTACCATAAGGACATAAAAGCAACACAATAATTTGTTTAGCATTTGCGAACTGATGCTACATGTTACGATCATAAAATTTATAGCTATTAAATAAATTTAAAAAAATACAAATTCCAGTGACACTGCTATTTTAAGTGAACATGCACAAATACCGTACTTTAATATTGACACGTGTGTATATCTTTTGTTCGCGTTGCACTGCGACAATATTCATGGTTAATTTATGATGTCAAGATCAGTACTGAATGTTACACTATTTGGACACTTGCACAACTGTACTCAGAAGCAAACACATTTAGGCCCCAGCGCATGAACACGCTCACTCACCCATGGCAATGCAGTCAGGACAGCATAAACATACCAGTCAGAGCGAACCTGCAAATTGAATTAAAGACATAGAACCAGAACAGTGAATACTAACAGGAAATGTATGTTGTGAAAGGCTAAAAAATAATCAAATGAGCAAATTTCCTCCTCACAATAGTCGACAAATGTTATGCTAGCGCCACAAAGCACAAGGAGTCGTGGTGCTGGCCTCACCTGTGGTATGTTTTCCTCAAGGGTGACCTCGAGCATGCTTTCAAAGAGACTGACCACCGAGCCAACGGAGATGACGTGGCAGTTGACAAGGTCCGCAAAGACTCGCACCTACATCAATGAACATGATGTTGCATTCACTGAAGCAATGATATCTGGGTTATATCTGACAGTTGAAACTTACAATGATCCTTGCATCTTCAAACTTGCAATCTCTGAGCCGCTCCTTGTAATTTTTCACCAAGAGCTCCACAAGCTGCGAGGAATAGTATGCAGCATTTAAAAACAAATGTTCGATCTGTTAGAAGGAGCAGCGCACGAACGAGGGTTCTCAACACGGTAAAGTCACAAACTGAGCTGATGCTTCACATATTGTAAAGCACAAACGCCTTCTTCCCTTTGTAATGAAGAAACGGGGGAGGGGCACATATTGGGCATGGAGGCATAACATACATGGTCACAGAAAGTACGTGCAGGCTGCAGGGTACTTGTTCTTCATTGCTATAATGTGATGCCAGCTTTAGATTTCTTGGATGTATCGGCATAAGACTCCCATTTAGTGCTCTTTAAAGGGAGGCTAAACTATTAAAGGCCTGAATACAATAAACAATAGCAGCACTCCAATTATTATCAATACAAAATTTTTTTAATGCACTTGATGTTAAAAAAGTAAGAACCACAGTACATGCTGTCACTGTTAGAACATACCTACTCACGTTCCTACACGAGCTTCGCTCCTTTGTAATTTACAACACGGTACCAGAAAAGAAATTCTCAATAATTACGGTTAATTTATGTTCCTCTCTTTTCTTCCCCTTTTTATCAAACTCCTTTGACCAACGGCCAACCAGTCGAGTCTACATCTTGAATCACTGAACTATGCCCTTACATAGAAAAAGACGGAATTCTTCGGGTTGGAGGTCGTTTATACCTCATGCATTCCACACAAGATGTCAAGCACCCAATCATAATGCCGTCAAGCCACCACTTTTCGGCACTTTTGGCAAACAGAGCCCATCTTCATGTCCTACATGAAGGAGTTAGAGATACACTTACGCAGCTTCGGGAACGCTACTGGATTTGTCGAGCTCGCTCTTTGGTAAAGAGAGTGCTGCATAGCTGCAATATATGCAAGTGTTGCAGTGCGGACCCAGGAAGTGCCGAGACTGCTCCGTTAACAAGTCATCGAGTGTCACCAACGACACCGTTTGAAGTTGTAGGAGTCGACTTCGCGGGCCCTCTGTATGCACGCACAGAGAAAAGGGACACGAAGTGCTACGTTGCACATTTTACGTGCGCCGCATCTAGAGCCATGCATTTCAAGCTTATCTCGGAAATGAGATCCGAGGCTTTCCTGCTGTGCCTACGACGATTTGCAGCTCGGAGAGGATTACCTAGGGTGGTCTATTCTGACAATGCACGAAGCTTTCACAAGACATCGGCAGACATGAAGCGACTACACCGAATGTTCTCTGAAGAGGACGTCGCTGGTCACCTCAGCACCAATGGCATTTCGTGAAAGTTCATTGCACCAAATACTCCTTGGTGGGGTGGATGGTGGGAGTGCCTTGTATGATCAGTGAAGCTTCCGCTGCGAAAAATTATCGGCAAAGCTCGTCTGAACCAAGAAGAAATATCGACAGTGCTGGCGGAGGTCGAAGCAGTCTTAAACTCTAGGCTTCCGACTTTCATCGAGACAGATGCAGGAGAACCTTGCACTTGGACACCAGCCGAACATCTCCTTGAACGAAGGTTGACTTCCATACCGTATGCGACCGCTGACGAAGTCAACAGTAACTCCAAGCGGGCAGACGCCATACGCAGACACAACTACAGAAAGCTGCTGGTTGAAAGTTTTTGGAAGCGTTGGCAAAAAGAATATACATTTCTATTACGATCTGCACACTTTGCCAACACGAAATCAACTACAGCATCGAAGCAAGGGGACATCGTTCTCGTGCATGCGGACAACACGCCACGACAGCTATGGAAGCGCTGCAAGGGTCACGGAAGTGTACCGCAGTGCCGACGGTCTCATTCGTTTCTGCAAGATCAAGTTGCAAGGCGGTCACCTTGCGATCAGGCCGATACAAAGACTGTACGCACTTGAACTATGTGTTTAACTTTGCGCGGCCGGGAATGTTGATTATTTTTCACGTTCCGGGCTGGGACAAGGAAACAAGAAAGAAGAAGAGCGCGAGGAAAAGGAGGGATGCGGGGACGCTCATGTGACAGCAGAGCGCTTCCAAGCGCAGTTAAATAAACAAGTATTTTTTGCCTTATACCTTAAAGACGAAGTTGAGTCTGATCGCTGTGTCTGGAACGCCATCATCTTAATACTACAAAAGGACGAAGGTTCATCAAACTTCTTATTCAGTTAAGAGCTTACCTCACCACCGAAGTTATAATTACGTGCATTGAGCAGGCCAATGAGCGTTGTGTAGATGGTTGTCTTCTCTGGCATGAAAATGGCACTGCAAGAAATAGGAGCCCAAATCCATTAACTTCACAAAAGATTCTTTACTGGTACTAACATATTTGTTTTCAGTAAGCTATGAAACCACAGGACATAAAGTTCAATACTAACCCCACAATTTCCACAGTACTCACACTACTCTGTAATTGTATATGAATTAAGCAATGACAAATGCAGCAATTATTTATATTCAGTGATTACCAGTTATTCATCTTTCCAAATCTTGTTTCTTAAGTATTTATGATGAGTGGCGTCGTATTGTACACAGAACTGTGCAGCCTGTAAATGTAAGCAGAAAATTTTAATGCCTGTAATGAAAAACATTTGATCTATGTGTTGTGGCCTCGTAAAGAAAATCAAGGGGGCAAAATGCTTAAGAACAGTGCCTCTATGCCTCAAAACACCACAAAATTAATTAGCCATTCCAAGGAACAAGCAACACAACTGCAAAAGGACTGCATTGAAGTGAAGAGGGCTAACATTTAAAAATGTATTTGTGAATGTGAAGGCCTATAAAAGTATTATTAGCAAGTCATTCGCATACAAATAAAATCAGCAATTGAACCACACATGAAGGATGAAAATACAAACATTGCAAGAGGTGCGATTAGAAAACCTAGTGTGGGGGCTAGTTGGAACATAATGCAGGAAATGGCTGCGCTGTAAAGTTGAGGACGAAAAACTGGGCTGACACAATTATTCAGTCCTGCAATACCTGTGAAATCTCGTTTACCACCCACTTTTTTTATTTTTCTTAAAGATCACTATAGTGGAATTATATCCTCAACTATTCCCCCAAATGTTATATTGTCCCAATGTGCACATTAGTGAATTTTCGAACAGAATTTGGCAGTGATGGGGTCTGTGACTCGTTTAAGACACTTGTAAATGCGCAAAACTGCCTGGGTACCTGGCAAAAACAACGCCACAAATAAGCCGAATAAACAATGCAATGATCAAGACGATTTAAACAATGCACATACCATTCTACCAATATATTTAATATGTTTCCTTTGTAGCTTGGGAGGTCTGCATCCAACACACTGGCCAATCCTTCCAGGTTGCTTTCAAGCGATGACGTGCTCTTTACAGTAGGGAAGAAAAAAAAAAAAATTAGAGATTTCTGTACACGATTTACCCCAAAACACTGAACATGGAAGCTAAGACAAACAGCTTTAATTCTGCACGAAGTACGATATAATTAAACGCACAGGAAACGTCACCTCGCACTCACCTTTTCACCGACTCTTTCAATCAAAGACTTCAACCGGTCCTCTATTTCTCTGGGTTCCGAACTGACCCTCCGGCGCTTGCGAACGCGGAAATCTGGAAATCGCGAATGAAGAAATGAGCACGCAGGGATACCTGACCTGCCACGCAACAAGTGGCATAATGATCTACGATTAAAAGTTTCTACGGCAAGCAAAACCCAAAATGATCGGCGCGAACTGCAGAGATCAACACTCGCCGGCTCCGGAACGTCAAAGTGCGACGTGATAAAGACGCCAAAGATTCCTGAATAACAGTGCATTGCTGCCGCTGAAAAGACATCCTGTTTTTCAAGAACATCTTACCATCTTCGTCGTCGTCCTCGTACGCTCTTCTTCGGCTCATTATTCCTACAATCGCGATTAAATTGTTGAGGGCAGTTAGAACTGTCCGTCCACGCAAGAGAACGAAACAAGCGACGCCATTGAGGATTGATAGCCGGCTAGTTCCCTTCAGAACGTGGATTGGCGTTGTAAAGCTGGTGCTGTACAACTACGTAAAATATAATAACAATATTTTCAAGAAACTGACTTATTTTTAGTATAAAGCACTAGGTAAAATTAAAGAAATATTATTGCATCTTTTTGAGGCTTAGCAAAGGCAGTCGAAACCGAAACTACAGGTTTTTCTCTCTCGCTTTAATCCAAGTGTCAGCTTAAATAATCTGCACGCCATGGAAATAATCTGAGTGCCGAGTTATTTAATCCAAGCGCCAACTCACTCAAGCCGTGTGCCATTGAGTTTAATCCAATTGCCAACGACTTTAATTCAGGTGCCAGTCAGTTTAATCCACGCACAAAAACCAGAATACGAGGCGTAAAAACGGCAGTGCAATTGAAATGCAGTTCCTACAGTATAAAAGACGATAGTCGAAGGGTAAAATAAAATATTATAATTTGTATTCGCCGATAGTATTCGCGGAAAAAAAATTACTGCCGTGGTTCGCTTGAGCCGTGTTTGGAGTGCTTATACTTTGCTATGTGCAAGTTTGTATAATGAGTGCTTGGCCCAGGTGAAATAATTTTAATCAAAACGAAAAAAAAAAACGCAGGAACATATTACTGGATATTTTACAGTGCAATGAAATTCAATGTCCGTCACTAAAGCTCATAATTGGCTTTGGCACATACTACAACATTACATGACCAGGACAGCTCATGTAATGCGAAGGACAGACAGACTATGTTTATCGGGGTGCCGGAATGCATGCCAAGATATTGAAAACCTGGCCGTGGGTAGTGATGGGTCAAAGGCAGCTACATAATCAAGAAATTAGGAGGCCATCGCGCGGCACTGTGAATGAGAGATAATTTCAATATATTTTTGTCCTACAGTGCATATAAAACGTAAACTGATCATCCTGATGTGGCAATGGAAGAAATTAGGAGGCCATCGCGCGGCACTGTGAATGAGAGATAATTTCAATATATTTTTGTCCTACAGTGCATATAAAACGTAAACTGATCATCCTGATGTGGCAATGGAAGTTTTATCTTAGAATATTGTTTGCTCTTATCCCAGACAACACTCAATGTCCTGAGGTCGTCCTCATATCGTACAATTGTCCTCGCACAGTTCTCATTGACCTCAGTGCTTACTGAGGACGACACTAGCTGGTTTGACCTGGAAACGTCTTTTCGAGTGCTTTCTGAGGACAACAATTGGTCCGGAAAAGGTCCTGTCAAGGATCTTTTGGGGATGACAAAAGCATCACCCTGAGCACTTAGATATAAATTCCTGTCAAGGATCTTTTGGGGATGACAAAAGCATCACCCTGAGCACTTAGATATAATTCCTCAAAACATTTGCGCACCAAGCAGATGTATTTCATATGTGAAGACTTTCTCCACACGTTCGTTTCATACAGTCATAAGGTCATTGTATATCCTCGCCCCATTTGTTTGTTTTTTTGGCAGAAAAATTTCAAATTACGCGTTCAGCTTAATGAGACATGCGTAATTAATCGGCTTGGGTATCGAACCTGGTATTGCAAAATGTCCATTTGAAAGAGTGTGTTCTTAAGTGTCACAGCCTTAAATTAGTCATTATACGCCGCTGTAGCGCGTAATAACAAGCTAGCGGCTGCCAACCATTGACAACTCTGAATAGTCAAGTAGCCAAGCCATTCCAAGCCAACTGACTGTCATATGGGGTCTGTCAGCAAAGGTGCTGTGTACTAGTGAAGGTGCGTGTCCTTTGTTGTTTGTGTGCATGGTGAAAAGCGAGATATGTGTGAGAGTTTAAGTCGTAGGTGACGACAGGAGGTTGATTGCCGTGTTGATGGGTGCACTGGGCTGCTCAACGTTCAGGCTGATTATTGATGTATTGTCACCAGGCGACCGCGGCGAGGTGTGGTACGAAGCAGCCTGGAACACCAGCCAATCGCGATCAATTGTGCTTCAAAGCAGTCTGGTCCCAACGTGAAAGGATCGACTTCTGCATCTGACACAGGGCCTGACCTCGGGCAAGTCAAGACAACTCCCGTGTCGAGTGTACTGACAGACTGTTAGAGCGGGGCCTCTAACACTAGTGAGTGCATTGGGCGTGGTGATGACACTGAAACACGTGGTGATGACACTGTGTCAAACTTTTGAGGAAGATTACAAACGTAGTTGATTGAGCTGTGTTGACTGCCTTGATACTGCTTTTCTTTGTTCTCACTATACGCGGACTCGAATGCCTCACAAAGCTGTCAGTTGTGATTATTGTTAAATAAATAAATTTCAGTCAGCAAGCTTTGTATGTTTTGACACCTATCTGTTGATTGAACCAGTATATACACGAAACCTCGCAGGTTTTTTTTTTTTATGTATGGAAATATCATGAAAACAAGTAAATCCTAAGCAGCATCACTGCCCACAGTACAGAACTGGCCACGCGATCGTTGTTCTGAAAAGATACTGAAAAAGTCCTGAAGTGTTGTTTTGAGGATGTGCTGAGGTTGTTATGTGTATGGACAAGGGGACGGGATTACTGCCATTCTAGTACCTTAAGAGGACATTCTGAGGGCGTCATATTGTCCTCACGGAGGCATACTAAGGATGTCCTGAGGTCTCTTTTCATTGAAACATTTTCATCTTTTCATTGAAACAAAGTTTAATGTCTCTAATGATACGAACAGTACTGATTGTTCGTTAAGCTTGGTAGTTTTGTGTCGTACTTGACCAATGCCATGAAACAAACACAGAGGAAACAAAACGATAATAACACGCAATTGACCTTCCTTTCTTTTTTTTCTGTACGTGTTTTTTTACACGGCATTATGCTCTCATTGCACATTGTAAGCTTGCGGATTCAGTGCAATCACTAAATTATTCGTTCTGTCCTCCCTCCCCCCCTTTCTCTCTACACACACACACACACACACACACACACACACACACACACACACACACACACACATATATATATATATATATATATATATATATATATATATATATATATATATATATATAAAAGGAAAACAAAAGTGCTTACTACGAATTATTCAAGAAATGCAACATAGGCACAGGTGAGCGTATTTATTAAAACAGACCTGTCTCATAGGGCTCGGAGACGGACATTCACAAGTCATCTTCACGCAAAGCGGCAGGCATGAAAGAGAAATTGTGCGATTAAGGGGCGCACAGTCAACGCGCTGTAATTGTTCCATGGGGTGGCGAGCCGCATCCAGTAGCAAAGAATGCCTGTGCTCCTTTTCCGTCATGCCTTGCGGTGTCACTAAAACTAAATTACGACGTTCGCTCAGGTAGGCCTTCACGTGTGATTTGAATTTAGAGAAGGCTTCTTCTATAAGGTTAAAAAAGGGACTGTACGCTAGCAGGCGCTTAATAGAGTGGAGGGAGTTAGCCAAGGCTGCCTGTTCTGCTCGAGCGTGAGCAGGTGCATTATCAAAAAGGAATACAGCTTCCGTATTTGGCTCATCACGTTCTACGCGGGCCGAAACATCGCTGAGGAAATCATTAAAAACAACCCAATGAACTTTGTCCACCACAGCTCAGTGAATAACTCCATTTGCGGAAATGCATGCTATAATGTTCAAGTTCGCTCCCTTTGTCGTCGTGGTCATGTGCACAGTTGGTTGTCCTTTAACTGCCCCAGCCGAATTTCCTGGAACACCAGATATTGAAGTTAGTCTAATATAGGCGGAAAAAACGCGGTCCATCAGACTGCATGCAGCCATTGGACGTACAGCATGCGGCTGTGCTTGATAACGCCACGGTTGCGATCTGTAGGCCTCTGCATCACGAGCTTCATCGAGTAGCAGTGGACATGCAGCAAGCGATCACTGTGCTTGCACCGATTGTTACTCCTGACATTTCTTCCTCCAGGGCTTCCTTTATTTGCTTTAATGTAAATGTACAGTTTTCGTCGACAATTCGTCTCAAAGCACTCACGATGTCATCTCCAAACTTTCTTTTCGAACCCCCACCATGCTTCGATCTTTCTTTGTCGGTAATGGCAATCCATCTTGCTGTTTTAATGTTGATGCCTACAGTGTCGGCCAGTTGCTTTAAGTCACTGCCACGCCTGTAGACGTCCACAATCCTAGCCCTGTCGACCACCGATACTCTGCTGTTTTTTCGACGAGGTTCGTTGGGGTTCTTAAAGTGTGGTCCTTGTTTGCGTCCAGCCATGACTTCAAGCAAAGCTCTCTCTTCGTCTGCAAATGTGCCTGTATGAAAACACACATTTTAAGCAAACACGCTTCAGCTACACTAAGCGTCGTCTGTTACATGAAAACAGGAGTATCTCCTTTGATGCTTTCATAACAACTTATTTCCACATGAACCCGATTAAATGCAAGTTTAGTATTTTTAAGTGGTTATTTCTGATTTCAAGAACGAATGAACAACATCTGTCGGTCACTGTTCTCACTGGGATGAGCAGACGACTGCGGTAGCCTCAGCGAATAAGTAGCCGAATGTCGTCTGCTAAGCAGACAACACGAATGTATGCATATGTGATGGTTAGCCGCAATGAAGCAGTAGCGATAAAATAAAGACTAACATAGACTCTATGAGCAAATATATTTAAGCACCCATAAATGCAATTACTACTCACTCAATTTTTTTATTTTGAAGCTATGACACCAAAACACCAAAGTAGCACTGTGCACTTCATTTCATAAGCGCTACCATGTATAGCCGACGGAAAAGTTCTTCCTGTGACGTCATATTTACGTTATTCTGACATTTATACTATATAAAGTGGCTAACCGTGTTTCTAGCGCATAGATTAAACTGACTGGCACCTGAATTAAAGTCATTGGCAATTGTATTAAATACAGGTAGCACTTGGATTGAACTCATTGGCAGGCGGCCTCATTGAGTTGGTGCTTGGATTAAATATGTTGGCGCTTGAATTAAATGTTTGACACATGAATTAAATAGCTCAGCGCTTAGATTATTTGAATGGCGTGCAGATTATTTAGGCTGGCACTTGGATTAAAGTGAGAGGGAAAACCTGTAGATTAATATTGCCATAAATGTCAGCACAAAAAAAAAATGCATATCACTGAAAGCACCAGTCTTCGCGGTAAGAGAACCGCAATTCCGGCCTGCTATTCACTCACAGCTGCTTCTGTGCGTGTGTGAAAGCACGCATCACCATTCATATTTCTTTCGCTGTCTAGGGGCGCACGCATTCAAACGCTCATAAACATCGATGTAACGAAATTTCAGTTTAACCAACATTCTCCTTTTCCAAAAATATTGTCACATTCACGACAGAGAAAACCCCGTTGCGAACCGTGATACATGTATTTGTGACATCCATGCAGGCAAAAGAGCCCACGTGCGAAAACCGCTTGCGCTTCGCGAACAAAGGGCATGGTACTCATAATCGTCGCGACGGGGGGGCAGAACTGGATCGATAAAGTGTACTCTGAGAACCCTAATGTCGTTAATCTTGCCATAAGTTTATTATTTGAGGAGTAAATCAAAGTAAATGTATACCTTATAGTTTGCATCAAAAGCTGCACTCATTATGTCACGAATTTCGATACGTATTTATTGTGCTTCGCTGACCTTGGGGCAATGAAATTTCCTGAAACTTGGTTTATTAAGTCTCAGTATCCATCAGTAGACATTCTACTTCATTTTTACCTGCTACTGGCAAGTACATAAGCCTCAGTAAACACAGTCAAAATTCATGACGTCGCCCCGCCGCGGTGGTCTAGTGGCTAAGGTACTTGGCTGCTGACCTGCAGGTCGCGGGATCACATCCCGGCTGCATTTCCGATGGAGGTGGAAATGTTGTAGGCCCGTGTGCTCAGATTTGGGTGCACGTTAAAGAACCCCAGGTGGTCGAAATCTCCGGAGCTCTCCACTACGGCGTCTCTCATAATCATTTGGTGGTTTTGGGACGTTACACCCCACAAATCAATCAAATTCATGACGTCATGGCGATTGGTGCAGAAATTTCAAGGTGGTGTCGCACCTGCATTTTCTTTTTGTGCCTTTTCTCGCTTACCAAGCGTCTTCTCAGCACCAAGGTTTTAAAATTGTGGATGGGCAATTCACTGATAACAGAAAAATCGTTTTCCTCTTCAGTGTTCCTTCAAATACCACTATCACAAAATTGTTTGTAGCAGCTGTGTTATATTGAGTAATGTATTTGGTCTATAAGCTGGAGTCTTGTCTCACTCTTAATAGATCTTGTACAACGACAACGAAGGTTGATTGTCTTCTTGGTCAGTTAGAGGTAATCTACACATTCATTTTAAAAAATGCAAAACATACTGGACATGATTTCATGTGGTTTTCGCTCGCATTTTATCGCACGCTTATGTGTTTTGGTACCCATTGTTCTGTGTTTTTCCCTCCTTGTGTGGTTTTATAAAGAAAAAATAAGAATCAAAGTAAAGGAAGTCGACAACTAATGGCATGGCCAACCTTAATATTGTGCCTCAAAAACTTGACCTACCAATAACTACTGAGTACCTATTTTATGAGCTGGAAATTCAGCTTGTTCGAACAGGTAAACAATGCTAAGTATTTCATTGAACTGACTGAAACAAAACGGAACTTTGTTCTGAAGTTTGAGCATGAACCATGGCAAGCATGACAGCTTTTAAGTTAAAGCCTGTTTGACCAAACTACCGTAGTTAGCCAACTAAACTTCGTTTATTATGGTGTCTAATGATATATGACCATTTGTGATTACTTGTGGCCTGTAGCATTACCTCCAGCCACGTGTGGACATGTCCGGCTGCTATATATGAAAACCTTCACAATTCGAACTGCTGGTCTAATTAGTACAACAATACAAAGCAGGTGGGCACAGAAAAGGTACGGAAAGAGAAGTAGTTGGTACAAAAAAACCGCAAGGCCTGTGCGGAATGCGCAGCACAGTCTCGGCAAAAGTTAGAAAGAGCGCCATTTCAGAGCCTTTTCTAAACATTCTTTGTGTAACTGCTACAAGCATACTTGCAGGGTACGCACGACCCCAAAAATTGTAGGGATGCATTCACTATGCCATCCTTTGGAGAAACATGGTACCTGCTACACACTTGCAAGAAATATTTTGCAATTTTTTTAATGCTGTGACTGATGACAATGAAGAATTACGCCTGAAGCTTTTGTGAAGGGTTGGAGCATTCGACAACCCACTCGTAACGCGTCTTGCATTGTGTACCACCTGGTTGTTTCTTTGCAGTCGTAAAACGCTTTATTATTCATATTACCTTGTTTCCTTTCTCGACATAGAGCCAGCCTAAGGCCAATTTGCAATGGAGTTTTAAGCACCAGTGTGGCTCAGTGGTGGAGTGCTGGGCTCGTCCGCCGGATTTGAATCCCATTGTGTGCTTGGTGTCTTTTATTTACCAATTTTTTTTAATTTCATGCGATAGTGGTTACGGACACCAGTCGAGGGAGACAACTAAAGCCCAAGTGGCCCTTGTGATCTCATAACAGCTTTCACTGTAAAAAAAATACTACTGTGCTTCCTCCCCATATATTCTCCCGTTTCCATACCACTTCTGAGCTTATGTTCCTTCAACTGCTCAAACTTGGCATTTTTCAAAGGTAATTCGTAAGTTACAAAAAATATGAGTGAATCGCTCAGTTAAAATACCGACCACATTAATTAAGAATGTCCCACAACGTTAGTTGTGCAACTTAGTTACCCCTATGGCAATAAGCTTTTCTCGTTTCACTGCCATGCACTAGTGCAAACAGAATCCTCAGATGCGCTGTCCACCTTTGTGTACATCAGCTTTCGCCATTCTTTAACATTATGCCAGATGAGACAAGCTGAAACATCCTTTGAATATGTACAGTGCTACCTGCTGATAACACACGAAACGGGCAGTACAGAGCACCATCCTTCATTATTGCTCATTCACAATGGCAATCTGCAAAGCTCATGGGACCGTGCTGGTCACAATCTTTTTTTAGTCAAAAAAGCAACTGATAGCAATCAGACTCAGGCCATCCGATTATTCAGCATCAGACAAGCAGAGTCACAAGGTTAGGACAACATGTCATATTTATTTACAGTAACTTAGGAATGGGCCATGATGGCACATTAACTTGCATATAAACAATACTCTGTAGCATTTTCATGGGAGAGCTCAAAGTCACACAGATAACAGATGAGTGAAAGATGACTGAAAACATTTAAAAAACTAAAACTTCACATGAACAACTTGAGTGAGGAACTGGATAGCTTCATGAAGTAAACCGAAAAGAAAGAGAGAGTGATGAGTGATAAAGTAAAGGTGTGAAAAGAGCCAGTGGCAGATGCAATCTATAATGAACAAGAATAGTGAAAGTGTGATGACAATGGACAGCAGTCATTGCATTTTTCCCTACTAGCATACAATGAAAGGAGTGGCAATACATGAAAGAAGGCTCCAGACACGAAATATCTTGCTTATGCACCGGGTAAAACGATGTGCTAGACAAGGTATTTGTAGCACTTAGGAAAAAAACTACAAATGACAATATCATAATATATTACAGTGACAGCAGTTGATTTGGGCTATAATTGAGTGGTGCTGCACTTATTGTTGCTGCTCTTAATAAGGGAGAGGGGGACCCTTAGGAAAACTAAGTGTTCAGAGATGAGCGTTTCAGGGCCTTTGAAAGCTCAGTTTCGCCGTCATCAGAAAGAACACTGAGAAATATAAACAAAAGTGCCACTGAATATTCAAGTCTTGAAACTTTAAACTTTTGCAGTTTTCACAACTGATGAATGCAGCCACACATTTTAAGACAGGTACAAGAGCTGCCCACCCACACTTGGGACATTGCACATAGTACTCCAGTGGGAAACCCCCAACCCACTGTGTGTTGCCACGCCTGCGTGACTGAGAAGCGAGATCCATAATATGGGGCAGGAAGAGTGCACTCTTTGGTGATGAGAGATCCACGACCACACCGCGCCACCAAACACCGACGACTATTTCACCTGCCGTTAAGGCAAGCTTGTAGCCTCTCCAAAGTGATTTGGTCCAGTGAGCACAGGTCAAAATCAAAGGATTCTTCAGTCATCTTGTAAAGGCCCGTGCCCTCTACAACGTCCACTACTGCTTGCAGTCGCCGTGGATCTTCTAAGCTTAGGATTCGTTTCTTGAGCTCTTGAAGCTCCTGAAGGTGATCAGCTGTACATGGCTGTGGTGGTGCTTTTGTAATGGGAGCGATGACTTCTCTCGTTGGTGTCGGTGATGCCGATGGGCTAGAGAGTGGTGACAAAAGGTCCTCCTGCTCCATTTCGAGCATGAGAGCGTTGAGTGGGCCCCTTGCAGGAGCTGCTGCCACCTTAGGGCTGTTTGATTCTTCAGATGCGGGAGCAGGTGCAGGAGCAGACTGGTTCGTTGCAGGTAATGGACTCGGCTCTCGAACAGGCAGCACGAGTTGCGGAGAGGCAGGCAACGGTAGCAACGGTGACGGCAGTTTTTCGAGAGGCTCGGGCGGCTTCCGATCTGAATGCTCGGGTGGCTTTTTAGGTGAATCCTTGGGTCGGTGCGACTTCGAAAAGTCCTTTTTCTTTCTCTCCGGTTCCTGAAGCTTTTGTTTCTTGGGAGGAGGTGGTGACAGCGGACGTCTTGGTGCAGAAGGATTTTTTGAGCTTTTTGATGAACTAGATTCGACAGATGTGGTTGGTGGCAGAGAAGACATCTTGTGAGTGGACTCCTTCTGAGAGCTGTGCTCTTTTGAAGACCGCTCTTTGGAGCTTTTGTCCTTTGTCTTATCCCTGTGCTTTTGGGACGACTTCTCTGCTCGTCTTGAATCCAGCTCAGAAGACCCTTTGCTCTCAGGCAATTTGGTCTCGGGAACTTTTGTCTCCGCTTGCTTCGATTCAGGAACTTTTGGCTCAAGTGCTTTGTGTTCAGCTTCGGATTTGTGTTCAGCTTTGTGTTCACTCTTATGCTCAGCCTTGTGTTCTGCTTTGTGGTCACTTTTGTGTTCAGCCTTGTGCTCAGTTGCCTTGTGTTCAGCTTTGCGCTCTGCCTTGTGTTCGGATTTATGCTCACCTTTATGCTCACCCTTGTGCTCACTCTTGTGTTCAGGCTTGTGCTCAGCCTTGTGTTCCAGTGGCTTCTGCTCTGTTGCCTTGGCATCACTCTCTGCTGAGGAGGAAAGCTTTGTGTCCCGAGACTTATCCCGTTCTTTGTTTTTCTCTCGCGAAAGGTCTTTATGTCGCTCTTTGTCCCTGGAGCTGCTTTTGTGTTCTTTGCTGCCAGACGATGATGACAACTTATGCGAGCTTGTGCTGCTGGTACCACTGCTGCTGTGACTTTTGCTTGATTTGGATTTAGATTGGCTGCTCTTCTGCTCCTGCAGTGCAAAAGGAGAAATAAGCCACCGTGAAAGCTACCACAGAGCCACCGTATCATGAAGCAACAGCAAAAACAAGCCATAACCCATAAAACACAAGTACACGCCCAAGAACGAACTTTTTTTTCAATATTGTTACAGATAATCCAGATGGTTTAAGAGTAACTATTTAGTGGGGCTAACTTGTGCCCAAAAAGAAAAATGTAGCAGCGTCCCTAACAGGCAATCAGCAAAAGGAATCAATCTCTGAGAAGACCTCGAGCGGTGTCCCACTTCATTTCCGTCAAAATCCCGTGCTGAGGAGGCGCGTGTCGTCACAGCCTTTTCTTGTCTCATCATCGGGCCGCTGGTCTCTTGGGGACGCACGAACTTGCGCGCGTAGTTTGAATACCGCTTCTGTCTTGCGTCATTATCCCTTCTCCAAGAACGCATCGCCCCGATGCGTAGAAGCAATGTTGCTGACATGGTCTGAATGCATGGTCTCCATTGGAGAAATAGGTATTCCTTATGATCGGGTGCGTATAGTTCGATGTTCATTGTCTGTCATAGAATGGTTTCATTCTTACCCCATGTACAATTCAGTGGGAATGAAAGCACTACAGCCGTCAACATGTTTCAAACACCGTTCCGTTTTTAGGTGCAGATTTTCATCGGATTCGCCGCGTGGAACAGCTTCACTGGTTCTGCGCAAGCGCAAGTGCTGGCGATCCCGGCAGCAAATGACGGAGGCAACAACTCGCCCAACCGGCTGAACAAGCGCCCGTTCCGCTGTGAGGCCACCGAGACATTTCGCGCAAGCTGGCCGCGTCTCACTGCAGCGCTGTCATTCCCGGCTACCAAATCGACAGACGCATCAACATCAGCAAGCCTTAAAAGCAGCTGGAATGGCTTACGCCACTTCAGTGAGAATGGAGGCAATACAGCCGTCAACATGTTTCAAACACCGTTCCGTTTTTGGGTGCAGGTGAGTACAGCACCTCAACTTCACTGTAAAAAGTCAAGAAATGTTTGGCTGCTAGTGCTTCCAGGCCCACAAACGTTGTTTCAATCAACATGTGAATGTGTGTTTATGGCTAAGTTGCTATTCATGTCCGGCGACGTAGAGCTAAACCCTGGCCCCCCCAAAGACGATCCTAACAAAGAATTGCTACAGCTCGTTAAATCACTGCACGACAAATTTGATTCCAAACATGAAGAAGTGATGTCTGCCTTGAGTGAAGCCAAAGAGGCTCAGTACTCAATGGAGCAACGAATCGCCGATATCGACAATAGGCTCTCGGCAGTTGAACAAAGCATTCGATCGTCAGAGGAACAACAGGGAGAAAGTCTCGTGCCTCAAATGGCCGTACTGAACCAACGGCTCAATGAATTTCAAGACGGTTCACGTCGAGAAAATTTAATATTTCACGGCATAGTAGATGCCGCTGTTGAAACTTGGGCACAGTCAGAAGAAAAAGTTTGCTCGATATTAAATTCAGCTTTAAGCCTAAACCTAGATAGCAGCGATGATCGCATTTCCCGGGCGCACAGGCTTGGCCGTTTTGTCCCTAATGAGTCCAGACCTGTTATTGCCCGGTTTTCATCCAGTAAGCTAATAGAAACGATTCTGTCTTCCAAAAACAAGCTAAAAACAAGTGGTGTCTCCATAAGTGAAGACTTTTGTAAGGCAACCAGAACTGTCAAGACAAAATTGTACAATTTTGGCAAGAAAAGCGGCGAACTTTTCACTGTGAGGTACAACAAGCTGTATATCAACAAAAAATGTTACATTTACCCCCCTGATACCGACAGTGTCTGTGAACTGCATTTGGGCAATGCCGCCAGTACTGCTGAACTGTCGTTTGCCGCTACAAACCGCCGTCCTGATGTGTCTTTTTCCTAACAGATGTTAGGCATCAGCAACGCAGCCAGTCTTCTCAAGGCTTATCATTTTTATTGTCAAATGTGCGCAGTTTAATCAATAAAAGCGACGCTCTAACACCTATTATTGATTCATGCGCTGCTGACGTGGTTGCGTTGACTGAGACCTGGTTGACCGATAAAATTTATAGTGAAGAGCTGTTTCACTGCGACAAGAATTATGTTGTGTACCGTCGTGACCGCGATTTAAAACCGGGTGGTGGCGTTCTAATTGCCTGTTGCCGACAATATAGTGTCTGCTAGGATTGCACTTACAACGTCCTTAGAGTTGGTTTGTGTGCGTGCTGTCATAGACCACCAAAACACATTGATCTGTGCTTGTTATCGGCCGCCAAATGCACCAACTACTTTCTGCGATGAGCTGCATGACGTTCTTAATTTTCTCGTCTCAGAATTTCCTCACTCTCCGTTGCTTCTTCTGGGAGATTTTAACTTTCCTAGAATAAGTTGGGCTTCGCAATTTCCCTCCGTTTTTGGTTCGTCCGCTGAAAGTCAGTCATTTATTAACTTGTGCTTAAATTTCAATCTTGCGCAACTTGTATCTGGGCCTACTAGAACTGGCACTACTTCATCGAACACACTTGACCTGGTCCTTGTCAGTAATCCTCATTTAGTGCATTCATTAACTTGTTTACCCGGAATAAGCAATCATTATTTTTTACATTTTTTTGTAAAGGGCCGTGTTACATGTCAGAAAAGCAATCCAAAATTTATCAGTGATTATGCGAGAGGCGATTACACAGCAATCAATAATGAGCTTGCATTATTCATTGACGAGTTCATGCCAGAATTTTTTAGCCGTACTGTAGAAGATAATTGGACAATATTTAGGAACAAAGCCACATCACTTGTCGCTAAATATATTCCACTGCGCAGGCTTTCCGGAAAGAAACGCTCCCCTCGGCCTTCAACGACACTAAAAAGATTATCAAACAAGAAAAAACGCACTTTTCGTCTTCCAAAATGCTGGCAAACATCTACTCGTTGCAATGATTACGCAAACACACTGCATGCATATCGCATCGCGCTAAGAGAAGCAAAGGTCGTCTTCTTTATACATATCTACCTTCTCTTCTTTCTACTAATCCATCGAAATTTTGGAGCACTATTCAAATAAAAAAGAAAAAGAACATATCTCTTACAGATACTGGTGGTTGCACGAGCAATGAAGAATGTTACATGGTTCTAAATGACACCTTTGCAAAGTCGTTTTCTGACTGCTGGACTGACACAGTCCCGTACATGCGCAAAAAAGATTTTTTTTCCCATGGATCCGCTTGTTGTCGATTTTGCGGGGATTTTAAAGCTAATTCATAGTTTAAAACTATCCTCTTCCTGTGGAGCGGGCGAAATTAATTCGAAATTTCTGAGAAATACTGCTGTGTACTCCTCTGTATTTGTTATGTACCTTTTCACCCAGTCTATTCAGTGCTCGACTTTGCCCGCAGATTGGAAGGTGGGGAAGGTGGTACCGTTGCTGAAATCAGGTAACCCGCATTCTCCTCTCAATTACAGACCCATTTCACTTACCAGCGTACCTTGCAAAATCCTTGAACATATCATATTTTCCAATCTCGTTTCATTTCCTGAGTCAAACTCTTTCTTCACTTCATTTCAGCATGGGTTTCGCAAGAACTACTCCTGCGAAACACAACTAATATCGTTTATACATAGCATTTCTTCCTTTTTAGACAAAGGCCAAGTTATTGATTGTATTTTCTTAGATTTTGCTAAAGCTTTTGACAAGGTGTCTCATCGCTTACTACTTCTTAAACTCAGTACTCTTAATATTGATCCTAACATCTTCAGTTGGATAGAATGCTTTCTAACTAACCGTACTCAATTTGTAACCGCTAATGATGCTGCATCCCCGCGCTGTCATGTAAAGTCAGGTGTTCCTCAAGGCTCCGTCTTGGGCCCATTGCTATTTTTAATTTATATTAATGACTTACCTACTGTTATTATTAGCTCTATAAAACTTTTTGCCGACGATTGTGTTCTATATCGTGAAATAACTAATCAGCATGATAACATTATTCTTCAGTCAGACCTAGATAACATATTGTTACGGTGCGGTGCATATTGTAAGTGGTGCTCACAATGGCTAATGTTCCTAATAATGTTCCTAAATCCCATTAAATGCAAAATAATGTTTTTTTCGCGTCGCTCTGGCTCATCCACTTCTTTCAGCTACACTATCAATAACATCAATCTTGAGTACGTAACCTCATATAAATATCTCGGAATTCAGCTAACCAATAATCTTTCTTGGCATGCGCACATCGAATAAGTCACTAACAATTCCAACAGATCCCTCGGCTACCTACGCAGAAATTTTTCTAAAGCCCCCTCCCATTTAAAATTAATGCTGTACAAAACCCTAATTAGACCTAAGCTTGAGTATGCATCATCTGTGTGGGACCCCAGTCAAAAAACATTATCAGCAATCATTGAGTCGGTTCAAAATCGGTCAGCACGTTTCATTAATTCAAACTATACCCGCACATCTAGCGTTTCACTAATGAAATCAAACCTTGGACTAATTGATTTGCAAATTCGAAGAAAAATTTCTCGTCTATGCCTTTTTCACAAAATCCTTTACCAAAATAATTCACTTAAACAGGAACTCATCTCACAACCTTCATACATATCGTCACATCTTGATCATCAGTATAAAGTTTTTTATTCCTTTCTGCCGTGCTAAAGTTTTTTCAGACTCCTTTCTGCCAAAGACCAGTGCCGAGTGGAACCACCTTCCCCCCTCCATCGCCTCCATTGAGGACGTGTCATCCTTCAAGACTGCACTAACCGATCATAGTATCTTAAGCCTCTAATAACTGAATATTGTTTGAACATGTATTCTAATTAATTGGTTGTATTATTGTGTTCTGTTATTGCTGCATTTTTGTTATATTACCCACCCCCTCTGTAACGCCTTTATGGGCCCTGAGGGTAATGTAAATAAATAAATGAATACATAAATAAATAAGCTTCTGGGCTATTTTAACATCTTGATGAGCTCACTTGTCCTCCCGGTGTCACCTCGTAATTCAAGGGGCCGACACGACGAAAGACTCGGT